GAATCGGAATCACAAACTCAAATTGCCTCACAGTACTTTCTCTTGAATAGGCTACATAGAAAGTGACACTGACGATTATAAATCTTAGTGTCAAAAGGGGGATTATGTTGGATCATATTAAAGAAGTTCTGTATTAAAATCACAAATGAGTTTGATTCCCCATAGTTTAAATTCCAGGGTATTACTAATTAAGAAGTCTCTTGGTTTTTGGTACTGTTTCTCTCCCTCTATGTGTGAAACTTGCAAGCTGCTAATTGTGTTAGTACATTCTAAGACAGAGTCTGTTCTCAAAGCAATTCACAGAGAGAGAGACTCAAAGCAATACTCTAACAACAGAAACAACACCCAGAGACTCCCCACCCTTTTGTTGTATTAACAATTGTGATTAAAATAGAGATAGAAGATGTATGTGGATGGATGCTTGGTGTGGATAATAACTGAATGATCAGGGAGGTGCCAGCCTAAGAATCCAGTGTCCATGGGCTGAAGAAGGCGTCAAGTGGAAATAACCAGAGGACCCCCCGGAGGGCAGACTGGAATCCACCCAACAGCCTCAAGAATGGGAGAACCAAAGAACAAGATAACATCTTGGAGCCGTCAGGAATGTTCTATCTGCTGATTGATTCAGCAACAGCATGATGAAGCAATTCCCATAGACTGGCATAGGAAGAAATTCCTATAAAAATAGACTCTAAAAAGTGAGAACTTTGGGGGGGTCTGATTCTGCAAACCAACTTCCAGGAGCATCAGATGAGCATCTGACAAGGCCCTGCTCCCTCCTCATGTCCAGGCCACCTGGCCAGTGGCTTGGCATGAGCAACTCTAAGGCTGGTAACTATGATAACAACCTTGCAGAACCTGTGTGTGTGTGTGTGTGTGTGTGTGTGTGTGTGTGTGTGTGTGTGTGAATGAATGTGTGAATAAATATGAGATTGAATGGAATGTTATAACTAGAACTAACTGCTTTCTATGATTCTTTCTGTATTCACAATAAATGTGGTATTTTGCCTTTTTCCCTTTAATAAGATCCTGCTGGTTTTTATTTTATTGGTACAACAATAGCTGTGGTTGAATTAGAGCAGATCTTTTAGAAAAACACCCAATCTTGATTTTAAAATTGCCAGTAACAGAGAATCCACCACCACCCTTGGTAAATTGTTCCAGTGGTTAATTACCCTCACTGTTAAAAATGTGCACCTTATTTCTAGCCTGATTTGTTTAGCTTCAGCTTCCAGACATTGGTTCTTGTTGTATCTTTATTAGCTAGAATGAAGAGCTCATTATCAAATTCCTGTTCCCATGTAGGTGCTTATAGACTATGATCAAGTCACCGCTTAACCTTCTCTTTGATAAGCTAAATAGCCTTAGCTCCTTGTGTCTCACCATAAGGCATGTTTTCTAATCCTTTAATCATTCTTGTGGCTTTGTCTGAACCCTCTCCAATTTTTCAACATCCTTCTTGAAGTGTGGACACCAGAACTGGACCCAAATTCCAGTAGCAATCGCATCAGTGCCAAATACAGAGGTAACACAACCTCCTTACTTCTACCCTGTTTATTCATCCCAGGATTGCATTAACCTTTTGACCACAGCATTGCACACGGGTAAGGGTAAGGTAAGGTAAGGTAAGGTAAGGGTGTGAAATCAGCCTCAGTCTATCATATTTTGTCTTGTTTTAATCACCAGAGGAAGACATGTTCAGCTAATTATCCATCACGAGCCCAAAGTCTTTTTCAGAATCACTGCTCCCCAGAATAGAGTTCCCCATCCTGCAAGTATGGCCTATACGCTTTGCTCCTAGGTGTATAACTTTACATTTGGCCATATTGAAGTGCTTATTGTTTACTTGGCTATGTTTATCAAGTTATCCAGATTGCTGGGTATTAGTGATCTGTCCTCTTCATTATTCACCACTCCCCCAATCTTTGTGTCACCTGCAAACTATCCGTGGTTATTTTATGTTCTCTTCCAGGCCATTGATAAAAATAGTTGCTTCTAAACTGATGAACTAAATTGGAAAAAGGCACTTTTATTCTGGGATTAGTGTGTCTACATGGGGATTTATACCAGTATGCCTACAGCGGTATAAATATCCTAGTATAAGTATGCCACTAAATTCCCCACATAGACAAGCCCATACTCACTTCTTCTAAACATGTGGGTCTCGTACAGATCTTTATGTCAAGCTTAGTGCCAGGGTATAACATGATCCAGTGGCTGGAAACTGAAGCTAGACAAATTCAGACTGGAATAAAAGGATATTTTTTTTAACAGTGAGGGTAATTAACCATTGAAACAATCCGGCCCGGCCCTGTACCAAATGGCAACCCAGGTGAGGTGCATCTTCAGTGCTCCCCCCACCGCCCATTTGTTAAAATTTTGAGCACATTTTTTTTTGCATTTGTAGCCCATTTCACGACTTTAATGCGCTATTTGCATGCATGATTTATCCGTGTCATATAAGCCCAGGAGGGGTGGTGGAGGAGAGAAGCACCAGGAGGGGTGGTGGAGGAGGGAAGGACAAGGCCACACAGCACTTTAAAAGTTTAAAACTTTAAAACTTATTGAATGCCAGCCTTCTGTTGCTTGGGCAATCCCCTGGGTAGAGTGGCTGGGTGGCCGGAGGCCCCCCCACCGCGTTCTTGGGCGTCTGGGTGAGGAGGCTATGGAACTTGGGGAGGAGGGTGGTTGGTTACACAGGGGCTGTAGAGGCGGTCTGTGCTCCTGCTACCTTTCCTGCAGCTCAACCATATGCTGGAGCGCATTAGTTTGATCCTCCAGCAACCTCAGTATTGAATCCTGCCTCCTCTCATCACACTGCCGCCACCTTTCAGCTTCAGCCCTCTCTTCAGCCCGCCACTTCTCTTCCTGGTCATTTTGTGCTTTCCTGCACTCTGAAATTGTCTGCCTCCACGCATCCGTCTGTGCTCTGTCAGTGTGGAGGACAGCATGAGCTCAGAGAACATTTAATCAGGCGTGTGTTTTTTTCACCTTCTGATCTTCGCTAGCCTCTGGGAAGGAGAAGATCCTGTGATCCTTGAAACACATGCAGCTGGTGGAGGAAAAAAAAAAGGGACAGTGGTATTTAAAAAGACACATTTTATAGAACAATGGGTACACACTTTCACGGTAAACCTTGCTGTTAACATTACATACATAGCACATGTGCTTTCGTTCCAAGGTCACATTTTGCCTCCCCCCAGCGCGTGGTTAGCACCTCCATCCTCCCCCCTCCCCGTGGCTAACAGCGGAGAACATTTCTGTTCAGCCACAGGCAAACAGCCCAGCAGGAACGGGCACCTCTGAATGTCCCCTTAAGAAAAGCACCCTATTTCAACCAGCTGGCCATGAATGATATCACTCTCCTGAGGATAACACAGAGAGATAAAGAAGGGATGTTGTTTGAACGCCAGCAAACATACACTGCAATGCTTTGTTCTACAATGATTCCTGAGTACGTGTTACTGGCCTGGAGTGGTAAAGTGTCCTACCATGGTGGATGGAATAAGGCTGCCCTCCCCAGAAACCTTTTGCAAAGGCTTTGGGAGTACATCCAGGAGAGCCGCAAATGCCAGGGCAAATTAATCATTAAACATTCTTGCTTTTAAACCATGTATACTATTTTAAAAGGTACACTCACCAGAGGTCCCTTCTCCGCCTGGCAGGTCCGGCATGCAGCCTTGGGTGGGTTCGGGGGGTACTGGCTCCAGGTCCTGGGTGAAAAACAGTTCCTGGCTGTCGGGAAAACCGGTTTCTCCACTTGCTTGCTGTGAGCTATCTACAACCTCATCATTATCATCATCTTCTTCATCCCCAAAACCTGCTTCCGTGTTGCCTCCATCTCCATTGAAGGAGTCAAACAACACGGCTGGGGTAGTGGTGGCTGAACCCCCTAAAATGGCATGCAGCTCATCATAGAAGCGGCATGTTTCGGGCTCTGACCCGGAGCGGCCGATTGCCTCTCTGGTTTTCTGGTAGGCTTGCCTCAGCTCCTTCAGTTTCACGCGGCACTGCTTCGGGTCCCTGTTATGGCCTCTGTCCTTCATGCCCTGGGAGATTTTGACAAATGTTTTGGCATTTCGAAAACTGGAACGTAGTTCTGATAGCACAGATTCCTCTCCCCATACAGCGATCAGATCCCGTACCTCCCGTTCGGTCCACCTCTGCTGATGAGCTCTGCATGGTCACCTTTGCTGATGAGCTCTGCATGGTCACCTGCAGCTTGCCACGCTGGCCAAACAGGAAATTGAAATTCAATAGTTCACGGGCCTTTTCCTGTCTACCTGGCCAGTGCATCTGAGTTGAGAGTGCTGTCCAGAGCGGTCACAATAGAGCACTCTGGCATAGCTCACGGAGGCCAATATCGTCTAATTGAGTCCACAGTACTCCAAATTCGACCCAGCAAGGTCGATTTCAGCGCTAATCCCCTTGTCGGAGGTGGAGTAAGGAAATTGATTTTAAGAGCCCTTTAAGTCAAAAAAAAGGGCTTCGTCGTGTTCACGGGTGCAGGGTTAAATCGATTTAACGCTGCTAAATTTGACCTCAACTCCTAGTGTAGACCAGGGCTTAATCCCAAATGTGAGTTGACTCATCTTTGGGACTTTTAAATATTAACAGAAATAGTGCACTTTTTTCTGATTAGTATGTCCTTCACACTTGCACAGAATTTGTAGTGAAAACTTTGGTCCATGTTTCCAAGCAAGATTCCTAAGAGATATGAGAAAACAGGGCACGCTTAATGGAGTGCCAGGAGCTGAGATCATTTGACTCACTTCTCCCCACTCCTCACACCACACAATGTTTATTTGTGGCTTTCACTTCAAGAATTTCCCCAGTGTTATTTTTGCCTCGGAGAGCAAGACAATGGTCACGTGTTGGGACTTTCCTGCACAGATTGAATAATCTCTGGTTATTTTAGCTGTCACGACAATAATCAAGACCAATCAGCATCAAGGAGGGAAAAGGCGGAGAGTATAAATGTACACTGGGACACACTTTGTCTCAGGCACTCCTCAACCTCTCCCAGACATCCAAGAATCATACAGAAGAACCTTCGCTCTCATCACCATGAAGGGAACCTGGGCTGTTGTCCTTTGTTCAGTGCTCCTGCTCGCGGCTGAAATTCAAGGTAAGAGGCAGCAGTATAAAAAAAGACGTGTAATACAGTGAGAAAGCCAGAGGTGTGATTAACTGGAGAGCTGTGCAGAATAAATGCTTGGAACTTCCTTTTGTGGCAAAAAAGTGATCTATGTTCAGGGTTTGTGTTCTACTGCCACTCACAAACATCTGTCCGCTCTGCTCGTGTCTAGAAGGTGTGTGTTGTCCACACAGGACTCGGACTGATCTGCTTGTATTTAGCAGGGAAATGAATAGGACAGTTTTTGGCAGGCTTGGATTTCTGCCCAGACTGTCCCCTAGTTTGTAAGGGTGTGAAATCAGCCTCAGTCCATCATATTTTTGTCTTGTTTTAATCACCAGAGGAAGACAGTTTGGGCCTGATCCAAAGCACATTCCAGTCAGAGGGAACTTTCCCACTGATATCAGTGGGTGTTGGATCAGACCCTTTGTGAGCAACAATGATTTTAGGTCCAACTGCTCCCTCTGTTCATTCACTCCCATCACTTTTACACCAGGAGTGACTCCTGTTTTCCATTGACTCGTGTGAGAGCGGAATCAGGCTCTCTGACTTCAAAACTAACGAGATGAAGGCAAAAGAGTGTAGCGCTTTTTGTGACATTGACCTCATGTAAATATGCACATGGTAACATTGCAGGACAAATGACTCTGCAGCCCTGAGGATGAAATGGAGTGTTTTCAACCTCTCTTCTTCCAACTTAAACATATTTTACTGAAGGCATCTCAGGTATCTAATATCATTCTAATCTCTCTCTCTCATGGCACATTTCTTTTAGGGCAGCTGACCTATGGACATGGACATTGCACCTGCAAAGAGAAAGGTTCTGATTTCATTCAGCGAAAAGCCTTAGGAAAAATAGAAGTGATTCCCAAGAGCTCTTCCTGTGACCATGTTGAGATCATGTGAGTAATGACTTAACTGCTCAGATATCGCCACTCAGAGGGACTGCTTGTTGCAATGGCAGGAAATATGGGGATTTTTCCCCCTTTAATGTAACCCCAGGTTCTGATGTCCATCTCCGTATTCCAAGCAAAGCGAAGTGCAATGAGGCTAGAGACTAAAGCCCAGGTCATAAGCTGGTATAATCAACACAGCTTCACAGACTTCAGTGGAAATACACCAACCCATAGCAGTTCCAGACTAGCCTGGAGGGTGGGATTCTCCAGGGCTCTGTGCCTTGTTTAGTCAATGACCCCAGATCTGAACAGGAGCATTTTGCACTCAGTTGGCACGGGGTAAATGACTACACAGGTTTTAGGGATTCAGGCCCTGAGGCTAGATGAGAACCTAGATCCCGCTTCCTAGGTGCACATAAATACATCAGGTAGATCATTCTAATGCTTTAGCTGATTTAAGGTCTTTCAATTTTATATTCATTCCCAGCTCATGGCGACAATGTAGCATATCACTCAGCTCACCAAGGGCCAGACTCCTGCTATTCAGACCCTGATCCTAGATAACAAAGACAATGGTGACCTTTCCATTATATGGAAATAAATTCTGTTTTCTTTGTTAATTTCAGTGCTACAATGAAGCCCACTGGAGAGCAAAGATGCTTGAACCCTAATTCCAAATGGGTACAGAAGATAATAACAACCCTCACCAAGAAAAAGTAGGTTTCCCATCCATCTGCAAGGAAAAACTCTCATGTGCTTAAGAGCTCACTTTATTCTTATACATCAGTGAGATCCAACTTTGGGCTCGATGCAGTCTCACAGCCTCAGAAACCTGCATTGCAACCCCAGAAATGGCATATTTTTTGGGACACAGTATAAGGTATCTGGCATATACAGAACCCCCCATTGAAGCAATAACCCCTGCTTCATGCAGAAGAGCAGGTCAAATGCACTGCATTAATTCAAAGGGAAGAACAAGTTCGTTTAAACAGCCTGTGTGTCTCAGGCTCAGTACTAAACTCACTTGTGCTGAATTTTGGGGCTCTTTACCCATGTGTGGGCTTCAAAAGCTGGGAAGAATGGCCACCCTTGATGCCTATTGAGAAATCACATAATCCTTTAGGACCAGACTGTGCCACATTTACCCTCGCTGAGTAACACCTTACTCCACAAGTCATCCGATAGAAAGCAAAGGGACTATTCACAGAGTAAGGTGCCAATCAGCTTAACCCTGGCAGAATCTGGTCCTTTAAATGTAACCTACTGTTCTACCAAGTACTCGATGGCCCTGGTTCTGATGTGACTTAAACTGGTGTAAATCAGAAGTAAGTCCAATGGAGTGGCACAGCGTAAAGCTAGTATGAGAGGAAAATCAAGCCCTTCTGTATGTGAAATCCAGAAAGAAAAATTCTAAAGGATAAAGTTCCCACTGTGTTTTATTTTGACAGGTCTTCACAAAGCACTCACTGGGAAAGGAGAAGAGCTAAAGATCACTTCAACAGACACGTGAGATTTTCGGATTTCAGCGCTTCAGGCTCCCTCTCCAGTGAGCAATGAACTTGAGTCTGCTTCCTCCACCTGGCTCTTCGACTTTTAAAATACAAATGCTGCAGTGAGGCAAGTTGTTCCCAACATACAGTCGTTGCATCCATTAAGGTAACATCTGGGCAGTGACATCATCTCAACACTGTGATGAAACATCAGCATGTCACGGCAGGACGTGCAGTGAGGCATATGTAACCTCAGTAATCCTACTGGCAAACCAATGACAGTAAATGCCCAGTTTGTCTGTGGGGTCTCCTGGTGGCTATAAGTGGTAATAGATTGCTTCTGCTTATCTAATTAGCAAAGGTTTCTTTGAGCCACATGATTGGGTTATTATATTATTATAATCATAACTCGGAGATACAAATATTCTCAGATAACACATACTAAGAATTCTAGTTTATTTTTTCTAGCAGATTTGAAATTAACGTAATTCTTAGATACATGTTCCATGTTCATTTATATAATATAACACATGCTTGTTGTTCTAGGATATGTGTAACATTTGTCTGTAGACTTTATAAATAAAATTGAAGAAGGCTTATAATCTAAAGCCTATCACACTGTGTTATTAACTGATGTATAAACGTTTATTACATAGATTAAATGGATCTGATCTTGATGAAATATAATATAACAAATGAATGTAATATAGTATTCACAAACATTCCTTGTGCTAGACTTCTCCTTTTAAAGATAAACCAATTAAAATGAATAAATGACACTGAAAGTTGTAGCAGTTGCCTTGGAGTTTGTACTATATGTAATCATTCATGAGCTGAAATTTCATTCATAGTGCTAGATATATTTACAGTTGAGTAACTCCATCTGAGAATTAATGCTAATATCCTACCATATTAATTTGATAAAAATTCACGTATAGAAAGCTCAATGCTTGCGTACATTCAATCACACTACAGTGAAGCAATATCCAACCAACAGAACTTTCTCCAGTCCTCCTCCTACAGCTCTAACACCAGAACTGCACCCCATCCCCACCCATTTCCTTACCTTTCCCTGTCACCCCAAAGAAAACCCTGGAAGAACAGATAAGCAGTGCGGCTTCACCTGAAGGTCAACTAGGGTGAACAGATGTCCCTATTTTATAGGGACAATCCTGATATTTGGGCCTTTTTTTCTATAGGCACCTATTGCCCCCCACCCCCTGTTCCAATTTTTCACACTTGCTGTCTGGTCACCGTAAGGTCAACACATTTGGTCCTTGGCAAAGCGCGGTGGGAAAGCTAGTGCCACACTGGAGGGCACCTCCCTGAAGAGGCTCTGGGCCTGATTCCCGTGTACACTGCGGCTCTTTGCTTTGGTGTGGCAGCGTGAAGGGGCTGAGATGTGCGTCCCTGTTCTGTGACACAAAGCAGCTGGTCCCAGAAGAGCAGCACAAGGGCCCAGATCCTCCAGAGTATTTAGGTACCTAATTCCTATTGATTTCAGCGGGAACTAGGTGTCCAACATCTTTGGGGAACTGGGCCCGCTGGCCCCAGCTGGAATGCCCCCTCTGCTGGCCAGGGCAGCTCTTTCCCTTTTATAGAACTAATTCCTGCTAAGCGGGAAGATTTTAATGAAGCATTCTGCACCTATCCCTGTGCCTGCCCCAAGGAGCCCCATCTCTAGTGCTGGCCTTGCTGCCCATCACCCTCAGCAGCACACATAATACTTCCCAGAGCTTTGAAAGGGGAGGGGCGCATGCCTGCAGGGCAGCAGAGATCACAACAAGGAGCAGAGCAAACAGGGCAGGCATTGTGGGATACCACAATGTGGGGAGTTTCCCACATTGTGGGAAAGCCAGTTCTGTCGACAAAAGAATCAGCAGTGTCTACACTGGTTCGTTGTCAACAATAAAGGGAGGGGGAAAGACAGAAGTCTCTCGTAGGGGTGGAAGTGTTTTCTTGCCAAATCTGGGCATTTTTCCCGACAAAAAAGTCCCATTGTAGTATGTACGCTCCTGCTGTTTGGTCGCCAAAAGGCAGTTTTTGGTGACAAAACTTGGTAGTGTAGACAAGGCCTAAACTGACAAACTAAATTGGAAAAAGGCACTCTTATTCTGGGATTAGTGCGTCTACACAGTTTGCAAATTAATTCCAAATGGACACAAACCAGATGTCAAGAATTATAACATTCAAAAACCAGTCGGAGAACACTTCAACCTCCCTGGTCACTCAATGTCAGACCTAAAAGTCGCAATTCTCCAACAACAAAACTTCAAAAACAGACTCCAACGAGAAACTGCAGAATTAGAATTAATTTGCAAACTGGAAGCCATTAAATTAGGCTTCAATAAAGACTGGGAGTGGATGGGTCATTACACAAAGTAAAAACTATTTCCGCATGCTAATTTTCCCCCCACTGTTACTCACACCTTCTTGTCAACTGTTTGAAATGGGCCATCCTGATTATCACTACAAAAGGTTTTTTTCTCCTCTGATAATAGCTCACCTTAATTGCAAAAAGAAAAGGAGTACTTGTGGCACCTTAGAGACTAACCAATTTAGTTGAGCATAAGCTTTCATGAGCTAAAGCTCACTTCATCGGATGCATACTGTGGAAAATACAGAAGATGTTTTTATACACACAAACCATGAAAAAATGGGTGTTTATCACTACAAAAGGTTTTCTTTCCCCCCACCCCACTCTCCTGCTGGTAATAGCTTATCTAAAGTGATCACTCTCCTTACAATGTGTATGATAATCAAGGTGGACCATTTCCAGCACAAATCCAGGGTTTAACAAGAACGTCTGAGGAACGGGGGCGGGGGGGTAGGAAAAAACAAGGGGAAATAGGTTACCTTGCATAATGACTTAGCCATTCCCAGTCTCTATTCAAGCCTAAGTTAATTGTATCCAATTTGCAAATGAATTCCAATTCAGCAGTCTCTCGCTGGAGTCTGGTTTTGAAGTTTTTCTGTTGTAATATCGCAACTTTCATGTCTGTAATCGCATGACCAGAGAGATTGAAGTGTTCTCCGACTGGTTTATGAATGTTATAATTCTTGACATCTAATTTGTGTCCATTTATTCTTTTACGTAGAGACTGTCCAGTTTGACCAATGTACATGGCAGAGGGGCATTGCTGGAACATGATGGCATATATCACATTGGTAGATGTGCAGGTGAACGAGCCTCTGATAGTGTGGCTAATGTTATTAGGCCCTGTGATGGTGTCCCCTGAATAGATATGTGGGTGCAGTTGGCAACGGGCTTTGTTGCAAGGATAGGTTCCTGGGTTAGTGGTTCTGTTGTGTGGTACGTGTTTGCTGGTGAGTATTTGCTTCAGGTTGGGGGGCTGTCTGTAGGCAAGGACTGGCCTGCCTCCCAAGATTTGTGAGAGTGTTGGGTCATCCTTCAGGATAGGTTGTAGATCCTTGATAATGCGTTGGAGGGGTTTTAGTTGGGGGCTGAAGGTGACAGCTAGTGGCGTTCTGTTATTTTCTTTGTTAGGCCTGTCCTGTAGTAGGTGACTTCTGGGAACTCTTCTGGCTCTATCAATCTGTTTCTTCACTTCTGCAGGTGGGTATTGTAGTTGTAAGAATGCTCGATAGAGATCTTGTAGGTGTTTGTCTCTGTCTGAAGGGTTGAAGCAAATTCGGTTGTATCGCAGAGCTTGGCTGTAGACAATGGATCGTGTGGTGTGGTCTGGGGGAAAGCTGGAGGCATGTAGGTAGGAATAGCGGTCAGTAGGTTTCCGGGATAGGGTGGTGTTTATGTGACCATTGTTTATTAGCACTGTAGTGTCCAGAAAGTGGATCTCTTGTGTGGACTGGACCAGGCCGAGGTTGATGTTGGGATGGAAATTGTTGAAATCATGGTGGAATTCCTCAAGGGCTTCTTTTCCATGGGTCCAGATGATGAAGATGACATCAATATAGCGCAAGTATACCCATAGCAGTGCCGCTGATCTGAAGGTATACATTGTCCCCAAATGTGAAGTAGTTATGGGTGAGGACAAAGTCACAAAGTTCAGCCACCAGGTTAGCCGTGACATTATCGGGGACAGTGTTCTTGACGGCTTGTAGTCCATCTTTGTGTGGAATGTTGGTGTAGAGGGCTTCTACATCCATAGTGGCCAGGATGGTGTTATCAGGAAGATCACCGATGGATTGTAGTTTCCTCAGGAAGTCAGTGGTGTCTCGAAGGTAGCTGGGAGTGCTGGTAGCGTAGGGCCTGAGGAGGGAGTCTACATAGCCAGACAATCCTGCTGTCAGGGTGCCAATGCCTGAGATGATGGGGTGCCCAGGATTGCCAGGTTTATGGATCTTGGGTAGTAGATAGAATATCCCAGGTCGGGGTTCCAGGAGTGTGTCTGTGCGGATTTGATCTTGTGCTTTTTCAGGGAGTTTCTTGAGCAAATGCTGTAGTTGCTTTTGGTAACTCTCAGTGGGATCAGAGGGTAATGGCTTGTAGAAAGTGGTGTTGGAGAGCTGCCGAGCAGCCTCTTGTTCATATTCCGACCTATTCATGATGACAACAGCACCGCTTTTGTCAGCCTTTTTGATTATGATGTCAGAGTTGTTTCTGAGGCTGTGGATGGCATTGTGTTCCGCACGGCTGAGGTTATGGGGCAAGTGATGCTTCTTTTCCACAATTTCAGCCCATGCACGTCGGCGGAAGCACTCTATGTAGAAGTCCAGTCTGCTGTCTCGACCTTCAGGAGGAGTCCACCTAGAATCCTTCTTTTTGTAGTCTTGGTAGGGAGGCCTCTGTGGATTAGTATGTTGTTCAGAGGTGTGTTGGAAATATTCCTTGAGTCGGAGACGTCGAAAATAGGATTCTAGGTCACCACAGAACTGTATCATGTTCGTGGGGGTGGAGGGGCAGAAGGAGAGGCCCCGAGATAGGACAGCTGCTTCTGTTGGGCTCAGAGTATAGTTGGATAGGTTAACAATATTGCTGGGTGGGTTGAGGGAACGATTGCTGTGGCCCCTTGTGGCATGTAGTAGTTTTGAAAGTTTAGGGTCCTTTTTCTTTTGTAGAGAAGCAAAGTGTGCGTTGTAAATGGCTTGTCTAGTTTTAGTAAAGTCCAGCCACGAGGAAGTTTGTGTGGAAGGCTGGTTTTTTATGAGAGTATCCAGTTTTGAGAGCCTTAATGGATTAGTCTCCTTACAGCTGGTATGGTAACACCCATTGTTTCATGTTCTCTGTGTATAGATATCTTCCTACTGTATTTTCCACTGCATGCATACGATGAAGTGGGTTTTAGCCCACGAAACCTTATGCCCAAATAAACTGGTTCATCTCTAAGGTGCCACAAGTACTCCTCATTTTTGTGTGTGCTAATTTCCCCATACTAATTTCCCCCAACTGTTCCTCACACCTTTTTGTCAACTGTTTGAAATGGGCCACCCTCATTACCACTACAAAAGTGATTTTTCCTGCCTTGGTATCCTACTGTTAATTGTATTGTCTCGTTAGCACTGACCCCCCACTTGGTAAGGTAACTCCCATCTCTTCATGTATTTATACCTGCTCCTGTATTTTCCACTCCATACATCTGATGAAATGGGTTTTAGCTCACAAAAGCTTATGCCCAAACAAATGTTAGTCTTTAAGGTGCCACAAGGACTCTTCATTGTTTTTGCTGATACAGACTAACACGGCTACCACTCTGACTCCTTGTGCCGTATCATTGAAAATATTGCCTTGTAAATTAAACTAAGTAGAGAGTATACAGTCTAGGTGGAGAAGTCACAAAAGCCAATAGTCCTGCAGAATTTTTCGTCTTTGCTGGCTGTTCCCTTTTCATTTAAATGCCTGTTTTCTCCTGGGGACACTAAGTAGGTTTCACTTTCCATGACTCTTAGGAAATGATAGCCCGCACATGGGATGTGTGCAGGGAGCTGTCTGGGTGATCTCAAAAGAGAAACTAACCCATGGGGATTTCTTAAAGTTAAAGCCCCACCAAATATTTTAGGGGTGGGACAGAGAAAACAGAGTCAAATTATCTCAATTCCAGTCCCTTAATCCCAAATGTGAGTTGACTCATCTTTGGGGCTTTTAAATATTAACAGAAATACTGCACTTTTTTCCTATTGGTATGTCCTTCACACTTGTACAGAATTTGTAGTGAAAACTTTGGTCCATGTTTCCGAGCAAGATTCCTAAGAGATATGAGAAAACAGGGCACGCTTAATGGAGGGCCAGGAGCTGAAATAATTTGACTCCCTTCTCCCCACTCCTCACCCCACACAATGTTTATTTGTGGCTTTCACTTCAAGAATTTCCCCGGTGTTATTTTTGCCTCGGAGAGCATAAAGGCAGCTCCGCTCCCTGCACACATAGAAGCGAGCATTGATCACTTCCTAAGACTCACTGAAAGTGAAACCGAGTTTGTTGCCTTATGAGAAATCAGGAATTTCAATTAAAAGGGAACAGTTGGCAAAGCAAAACAATGGTTACCTGTTGGGACTTTCCTGCACAGATTGAATAATCTCTGGTTATTTTAGCTGTCACGACAATAATCAAGACCAATCAGCATCAAGGAGGGAAAAGGCTGAGAGTATAAATGTACACTGGGACACACTTTGTCTCAGGCACTCCTCAACCTCTCCCAGACATCCAAGAATCATACAGAAGAACCTTCGCTCTCATCACCATGAAGGGAACCTGGGCTGTTGTCCTTTGTTCAGTGCTCCTGCTCGCGGCTGAAATTCAAGGTAAGAGGCAGCAGTATAAAAAAAGACGTGTAATACAGTGAGAAAGCCAGAGGTGTGATTAACTGGAGAGCTGTGCAGAATAAATGCTTGGAACTTCCTTTTGTGGCAAAAAAGTGATCTATGTTCAGGGTTGTGTTCTACTGCCACTCACAAACATCTGTCCGCTCTGCTCGTGTCTAGAAGGTGTATGTTGTCCACACAGGACTCGGACTGATCTGCTTGTATTTAGCAGGGAAATGAATAGATTTGGATTTGGCTTGGATTTCTGCCCAGACTGTCCCCTAGTTTGTAAGGGTGTGAAATCAGCCTCAGTCCATCATATTTTTGTCTTGTTTTAATCACCAGAGGAAGACAGTTTGGGCCTGATCCAAAGCACATTCCAGTCAGAGGGAACTTTCCCACTGATATCAGTTGGTGTTGGATCAGACCCTTTGTGAGCAACAATGATTTTAGGTCCAACTGCTCCCTCTGTTCATTCACTCCCATCACTTTTACACCAGGGGTGACTCCTGTTTTCCATTGACTCGTGTGAGAGCGGAATCAGGCTCTCTGACTTCAAAACTAACGAGATGAAGGCAAAAGAGTGTAGCGCTTTTTGTGACATTGACCTCATGTAAATATGCACATGGTAACATTGCAGGACAAATGATTCTGCAGCCCTGAGGATGAAATGGAGTGTTTTCAACCTCTCTTCTTCCAACTTAAACATATTTTACTGAAGGCATCTCAGGTATCTAATATCATTCTAATCTCTCTCTCTCATGGCACATTTCTTTTAGGGCAGCTGACCTATGGACATGGACGTTGCAGCTGCACAGAGAAAGGTTCTGATTTCGTTCAGCGAAAAGCCTTAGGAAAAATAGAAGTGATTCCCAAGAGCTCTTCCTGTGACCATGTTGAGATCATGTGAGTAATAACTGCTCAGATATCGCCACTCAGAGGGGCTGCTTGTTGCAATGGCAGGAAATATGGGGATTTTTTCCCCTTTAATGTAACCCCAGGTTCTGACGTCCATCTCCGTATTCCAAGCAAAGCGAAGTGCAATGAGTCTAGAGACTAAGGCCCAGGTCATCAGCTGGTATAATCAACACAGCTTCACAGACTTCAGTGGAAATACACCAACCCATAGCAGTTCCAGACTAGCCTGGAGGGTGGGATTCTCCAGGGCTCTGTGCCTTGTTCAGTCAATGACCCCAGATCTGAACAGGAGCATTTTGCACTCAGTTGGCACGGGGTAAATGATTACACAGGTTTTAGGGATTCAGGCCCTGAGGCTAGATGAGAACCTAGATCCCGCTTCCTAGGTGCACATAAATACATCAGGTAGATCATTCTAATGCTTTAGCTGATTTAAGGTCTTTCGATTTAATATTCACTCCCAGCTCATGGCGACAATGTAGCATATCACTCAGCTCACCAAGGGCCAGACTCCTGCTATTCAGACCCTGATCCTAGATAACAAAGACAATGGTGACCTTTCCATTATATGGAAATAAATTCTGTTTTCTTTGTTAATTTCAGTGCTACAATGAAGCCCACTGGAGAGCAAAGATGCTTGAACCCTAATTCCAAATGGGTACAGAAGATAATAACAACCCTCACCAAGAAAAAGTAGGTTTCCCATCCATCTGCAAGGAAAAATTCTCATGTGCTTAAGAGCTCACATTATTCTTATACATCAGTGAGATCCAACTTTGGGCTCAATCGATGGTCACTGCAGTCTCACAGCCTCAGAAACCTGCATTGCAACCCCAGAAAATGGCATATTTCTTGGGACACAGTATAAGGTATCTGGTGTATACAGAACCCCCCATTGAAGCAATACCCCGTGCTTCACGCAAAAGAGCAGGTCAAATGCACTGCATTGTTTCAAAGGGAAGAACAAGTTCGTTTAAACAGCCTGTGTGTCTCAGGCTCAGTACTAAACTCACTTGTGCTGAATTTTGGGGCTCTTTACCCATGTGTGGGCTTCAAAAGCTGGGAAGAATGGCCACCCTTGATGCCTATTGAGAAATCACATAATCCTTTAGGACCAGACTGTGCCACATTTACCCTCGCTGAGTAACACCTTACTCCACAAGTCATCCGATAGAAAGCAAAGGGACTATTCACAGAGTAAGGTGCCAATCAGCTTAACCCTGGCAGAATCTGGTCCTTTAAATGTAACCTACTGTTCTACTAAGTACTCGATGGCCCTGGTTCTGATGTGACTTAAACTGGTGTAAATCAGAAGTAAGTCCAATGGAGTGGCACAGCGTAAAGCTTGTATGAGAGGAAAATCAAGCCCTTCTGTATGTGAAATCCAGAAAGAAAAATTCTAAAGGATAAAGTTCCCACTGTGTTTTATTTTGACAGGTCTTCACAAAGCACTCACCGGGAAAGGAGAAGAGCTAAAGATCACTTCAACAGACACGTGAGATTTTCGGATTTCAGAGCTTCAGGCTCCCTCTCCAGTGAGCAATGAACTTGAGTCTGCTTCCTCCACCTGGCTCTTCGACTTTTAAAATACAAATGCTGCAGTGAGGCAAGTTGTTCCCAACATACAGTCGTTGCATCCATTAAGGTAACATCTGGGCAGTGACATCATCTCAACACTGTGATGAAACATCAGCATGTCACGGCAGGACGTGCAGTGAGGCATATGTAACCTCAGTAATCCTACTGGCAAACCAGTGACAGTAAAGGCCCAAAAAGAAAAGGAGTACTTGTGGCATGAAGTGAGCTGTAGCTCACGAAAGCTTATGCTCACATAAATTTGTTAGTCTCTAAGGTGCCACAAGTAATCGTTTTCTTTTTGCGGATACAGACTAACACGGCTGTTACTCTGAAACCAGTAAAGGTCTAGTTTGTCTGTGGGGTCTCCTGGTGGCGATAAGTGGTAATAGATTGCTTCTGCTTATCTAATTTGCAAAGGTTTCTTTGAGCCATATATAATATAATATATATTATTATAATAACTCAGAGATACAAATATTCTCAGGTAACAAACACATACTAAGAATTCAAGTTTATTTTTTCTAGCAGATTTGAAATTAATTCTTAGATATATATGTCCCATGCTAATTTATATAACACATGCTTGTTGTTCTAGGATATGTGTAACATTTGTCTGTAGGCTTTATAAATAAAATTGAAGAAGGCTTATAATCTAAAGCCTATCACACTGTGTGTTTAACTGATGTATAAACATTTATTACATAGATTAAATGGATCTGATCTTGATGAAATGTAATATAACAAATGAATGTAATATAGTATTCACAAACATTCCTTGTGTTAGACTTCTCCTTTTAAAGATAAACCAATTAAAGTGAATAAAAGACACTGAAAGTTGTAACAGTTGCCTTGGAGTTTGTACTATGTAATCATTCATGAGCTGAAATTTCATTCATAGTGCTAGATATATTTACAGTTGAGTAACTCCATCTGAGAATTAATGCTAATATCCTACCATATTAATTTGATAAAAATTCACGTATAGAAAGCTCAATGCTTGCGTACATTCAATCACACTACAGTGAAGCAATATCCAACCAACAGAACTTTCTCCAGTCCTCCTCCTACAGCTCTAACACCAGAACTGCACCCCATCCCCACCCATTTCCTTACCTTTCCCTGTCACCCCAAAGAAAACCCTGGAAGAACAGATAAGCGTTGCAGCTTCACCTGAAGGTCAACACATTTGGCCTTTGGCAAAGTGGGGCAGGAAAGCTAGTGCCACACTGGAGGGCACTTCCCTGAAGAGGCTCTGGGCCTGATTCCTCTTTACACTGCGGCTCTTCCTCTCTACAGTGGGAGGGAAGGATAGCTCAGTGGTTTAAGCATTGGCCTGCTAAACTCAGGGTTGTGAATTCACTCCTTGAGGGGGCCATTTAGGGATCTGGGGCAAAAATTGGGGATTGGTCTTGCTTTGAGCAGGGGGTTGGACTAGATGACCTCCTGAGGTCCCTTCCAACCCTGATATTCTAGGATTCTTTGCCTTGGTGTGGCAGTGCGAAGGGGCTGAGATGTGCATCCCTATCCTGTGACACAAAGGAGCTGGTCCCAGAAGAGCAGCACAGGGGCCCAGATCCTCCAGAGTATTTAGGTACCTAATTTCTATTGATTTCAGCGGGAACTAGGTGCCCAACACATTTGGGGAACTGGGCCTGCCGGTCCCATCTGGAATCCCCCCTCCTCTGGCCAGGGCAACTCTTTCTCTTTAATGCAACTAATTCCTATTAAGCGGGAAGACTTTAATGAATAGCTCAGTGGTTTGAGCATTGGCCTGCTAAAAACCCAGGGTTGTGAGTTCAATCCTCGAGGGGGCCATTTAGGCATCTGGGGCAAAAATTGGGGATCGGTCCTGCTCTGAGCAGGGGGTTGGACTGGATGACCTCCTGAGGTCCCTTCCAACCCTGATATTATGTGATTCTGCACCTATCGCTGTGCCTGCCTGTAGGGGGCGCAGGCGGCTCCCAGCGCTCGCAGGAGGCCAGACTCCGAGCAACGCACAAGCAGCCGCTTTTGGAATAAGTTTGCCCCTCCGCGGCTCCCCTAGCGCCGGAAGCCAAGATGGCGGCGCCCAGTGGTAGCTCACGTGGTCGTTCCGGGAGGGGCAGAGCGTCTCGCAGGCAGTAGCGCCCCGGCCCCAGCAGCCATGTCCGGCCGCAGCAACAACAAGCTGCCCAGTAACCTGCCCCAGCTGCAGAACCTGATCAAGCGGGACCCGCCGGCTTATACCGAGGAGGTGAGAGAGCGAGCCCCCTCGCCGCGCCGGGAGGGTGGGGGGTCAGACCCACGCTCAGCCCCCAGGATGCCCCTGGGCCCCAGCCCCCCCATCCTCGGTGCGCAAGGCCGAGGTCTCTGTGCCTTCTTAATAAAAACCCCCTTTTTCTTGGGAGGCCCGGAGGCCAGTGACGCCGCTTGGTGTGGCCTGTGGGGGCCAGAGAGGGACAAGGCGCGGGAGGTAATATCTCTTAATGGACCAGCTTCTGCTGGGGGAAGGTGCAGGCTGGCGAGCTTCACAGAGCGCCTCTTCGGGTCTGGGGAAAGTAACCAGAGTGACCCCCCCCCCCAGTCGGTGTCACGCCCACAGCGCGATCCCCCCTTGTCCCCAAAGGGCGGTATGTCCTTGCTCGCACAGGGCGTGTGTACCTGGCGATAACTAGTTGGACGAGGAGGGGAGTGAGATCCCAGTGGCGACGAGGCACTGTGCTTCTCAGCTCGGCTGGCTACATGCAGGTGCCTGGTCTGCGCTGCCTGGAGTTAGGTGTTTTGATGTAAAAACGCCCCTTTCCCCCGTTAAGATATAGCTGCCTTCACTAGAGATGGTGGCATATAAGGCAAAACTCCTTCTCTTTCTCACATGGGGCTGGACCCCTTAAACTCAATGTGACTTTACATGCTTCAAGTTAGGCATGTGCTAAAGCGTCGAGCTGAGCCAGGGCTGTAGCCCTGGTCTAGACACCTTTTGCTAGCAATTTAACTATTTTAGTTAGGGGTTATCTTTTTACCGATATAGTTAGACCAGTATAAAGGTGCCTTGTGCTTGTGTGATTTATTTGTCTCCCTGTACTGGAATAGCTATGCCATTATAAAACACTGCTATACTAATGTAACTGCATCCATAGGGGCGGAGGGATGACCGGCAGTTCTACTGTGAAGTCTGTACCAGTATAGTTAATATGGTACAACTTTCGTGTGTAGATCAATGCCTGGGAGAGACTTGAAAATTTGCCTTAGGGCTTGTGTACTCATGGAAGTATTAAGGAACAGCTATTGCACCTTATTCACAGTTGTTGTACAAGCATTGGTGAACCCTTAAACTGCCGTCTTGCCATCTTTTTAGCTTCTTAAAAAAGCTAGAAGTAACTTTATGCCAGCCCTGAGTCCCCTTACCAGTTCTTGTAGTCTTACAATTACCTATTCCTTTTTAAAATAAAAACTCCCCTTTTGCTACTGAAAGTCATACCCAGGCATCTGAACCTGATGGATGATAGGGAAGACATCAAAACTGGCAAGACACTTAGGGGTAGTCTGCATTACCCTGCTACATCGGCACAGCTGCACCATGTCTGGTGAAGATGTGCTATGCCGATAGGAGAGCGCTCTCCCGTCGGCATAGTTACTCCACCTCCACAAGAGGCGGAAGCGATGTTGTTGGCAGGAGAGCATCTCCTGCTGACTTAGCACTGGTGTGGCTAGCACTTAGGTGGATGGCATTTGTGTCGCTCAGGGGGGTGGCTTTTTCACACCCCTGAGCGAGGTAAGTTACATCGACTTAAGCGGTAGTGCAGATAAGCTCTAAGTGTTGTCAGATGCACAAGAAGAGAAACTGTAAATATATTTCTACTCTCTCAATGGGTGTTAAAGACTGTTACCCTGCTGGCATATGCATGGTCTAAGATAATGTCTCTGCCAGTGGGATAATCATGTTGAACATTAACTTTGGCGTGGGAGAACTGTTCTGTTTGATCCTTGATGTTAAACACAGCCATTCTCACAATGTACATATGGTCAATAGGTCTGGATACCTTCCTTGCTGTTCCATCTCCCCTGTGGTTAGAGGTTGAGTTGCAACCAGAATTTTAAACCTCAGGAATTCTCAGGATGATTGTTTAAAGTGGCATTATGCAACACCGGTCTCCCTCCTGCCTGTAGGCAATGTGAATGCATTGTACCTTCACTGGAGCTATTTGTGCTTTATTAGCTTCTGATGCATACTCTTCTGGACGGGGACTGTGCTCTGCTGCTCCCCAGTCCTGCAAAGACTTAAGCCTGTGCTTGACTACTCACAGTGCATAAAATCTTTGGAAGGTCAGGGCCTGGGGGTCCACACAGTTTCTAGCAGAACGGTAACCTAATTTTGATTGGTGCCTCTGTGCCCCACTGTAAATATTAATATCTCACCCTAATAAGAGACTTAGTCCCATCTCACATGGATAAGCTGTTAAAGTCACATCCCTGAGACGCTTGAGATGTATCATCAAAAGCTGCTTGGCAGGGAAAATATAATTATATATTTAAAGGGACTCAGTGCCATTTCAGGGGGCATGGAGCAGTGTTCACGTCCACTCCCCTTCAGTACCCTGGCCAAGCTGGGGAAGCTAATGATCCAACCAGCAGATGAATCCTGGTCACATGCCACCTGAGGCATGTTGCGCATATGCTAAAAAGAGTGCCATTTTGGGGGGGATTTTCTGACATGAATGGGTTTCTATGGGCCTGATCCTGTACCACTGAAGTCACTGAGAGTTTTGCTGCTGTTTTCAGGTGGAGCAGAATGGGGGCCTTAGATCTCTTGATATTGAGAAGCTATCGTATCCAGTAATGACAACTAAGAGTGAAATGGCATATTTGTGTTTCAGTTTCTCCAGCAGTATCGTCACTACCAGTCCAATGTGGAGATTTTCAAACTCCAGCCTGATAAGCCCAGTAAGGAGCTGGCTGAATTGGTGATCTTCTTAGCACAGGTAAAATTCTGTAATTCTAGGAAAAACAAACAAATTGAACTATTAAAAGGTGACCTGCAAAACCTTTCCCCACAATGAAATAATTGTAAGCTATATACAAATGCTCCATATAGCTAGGAGCAGATGACAAATAACAGACGAAAAGATTTTAACAATATATTTTTTTAAAATTTCCATTCTCCAGGGTTGCTTTCTGTGGTTTACAGTATAAAATGGTAAAAACAAAACATTTTAAAAACTGAACTGTTTATTTAAAAAAAACAAACAAACAATAACCCAGTTGTGCCCCATTTGACAACTACCCTTGCTTCAGCAGAAATTTTAATAGGTGCGTTGCTTCAGAATGATTCTGGAACATCATAGTGGTGCCAAATAGAACTTGTTACTCATAATTATCTTATTTTTGGAATGGGTGTTCCAGATCACCTTTAAATGCAGATTTTACGACACTCTTAATCCTTTAATAAAGAAGTGAGCTTTTATGTAGGAAGTTAATATGATAGAAACTTCAGCATTCAAAGATATATTGCACATCAACAAAATTTGAAAAAGTTAATAGTCATTTAATGTATATTTCGTTAAGGGGTATATTTTTACGGAGTCAGATTCACCTCTCAAGCAAATGTACCATTGTTACACTGTTAGAGTTTATTATAGGGATTTATTAAAAAGATTTTGTTTTTTTAAACAGGTTGGGCATTGCTATCCAGAACATCTTGTTGATTTTCCACAGCAGCTGAAAGAATTGCTTTCTTACAATCACACCGTTTTGGATGCAGATCTTCGAATGGTAAATCTGACATTTAAAGCACTGATATTTATTGCTAAGGTCTTTAAGAGGATTCTGTACAGAATTTTATTTTACAGTATAAGCAAGGACTTGCATTGTCCTATGTGCCTATTAATTTTGTGTGCCTCAGTTTTTCAGTGTCCAGCTTTCTGAAAGTCGGACTCCTTCAAGATGCCTCAAATTGGGCATCCAAAAATCAAGGCCAAAGTGGTCAGTTTGGTGGAGAAGTAGTACCCTGGTTTTGAGGACCACCACAGAGTTAGCCACTCTGGGCTCCAGGAGCACATCTTTGCCCTGATCCTTCAAAGAAAGATGCCTCAAATTGGGCATCCAAAAATCAAGGCCAAAGTGGTCAGTTTGGTGGAGAAGTGGTACCCTGGTTTTGAGGACCACCACAGAGTTAGCCACTCTGGGCTCCAGGAGCACATCTTTGCCCTGATCCTTCAAAGACTAATACACATGCTTAATTTACTGTGAACAGTCTTGTTGACTTCGCTGGAACTACTTGTCGGGTGTAAAATTTAGCATGTGTAAAAGTCTGAAAAGGATTTGGGCCTGACTCTTTTTCTTTGTAGATGAATAATAAATGCTCTTGTCTCAGTCATTTTCAAATTGTGATTCTGGTCACTTCTTTGTTGCAGACATTTTGCAAAGCTCTGATCTTATTAAGAAACAAGAATCTAATAAACCCTACAAGTTTGCTGGAACTCTTCTTTGAACTCCTGCGCTGCCATGATAAACTTCTACGGAAAGTAAGCTGCAGAATAAGAATTGGTTTTATGTCCTTGGTGAGCCTCTTGTTAATGTTTTCCCTTCTCTTATGAGAAGGAAACACAAGTAATTCAGCAGTACCATACAGCCTGTTCGGTCTTCAAGGTAGCTAAATATATAATCTTATTGTAGTTCTGTTGGTTCCAGTAGTGAAGATTTTAGTGTATTTGGGCTTTAAGCAGTTTGTTGTGCCTGTGACCAACTATTATGGAGACGGACACTCAGGGATAAATACAATGAGTATGAAAGGGCCAACTTTAGAAACCTGAAAGGTGAGATAAAATCAAGACCTCAAAAGGCCAGGGTGGGGATTGGCAGTTCATTGAGGGTTATGGGCTTGGTTTCTAGAAGTTCTGAGTATTTTCTGGTGTCCCTGACTTCCTGGGGCCTGAGCAGCTGTAACTCCTTGTGTGGGCTCATGTGCCACTCATTTAAGATTTAGTGGAAAAATCATTCCGATGATGGTGTTGGGACATTCCCCAGGATGCGATCTGAACCGCTGGACTGCTGTGTCCTCTTAGCTCTCCAGCCTGGGATCCCTTTTACATTGCTTTGCTGAGGAACAGCAATCCCTCCAGGCTCTGTTCACTCTCAGCCACCAGCAGGCAAAGTCACTCCTAGCTGAGTACATGACTGCTATGCTTAGCCAGCCATGAATTACATACAGAGAGGCACCCACATATCCCTCAGCTCCAGCCTTGCTCCCCAGAAGTGTACGTCTCATACTGCTCAGTAGCCCACTGGACAGTACAAGTTCATAGATAGTTCGTCATTCCAACAAGGGGTAATAAGTATGCACCAGGCTTATTGACCTAAGTAGAGATTCCCAAGCACTTCTGCCAAAACACACTGCTTTAGATAAAACAATAAAAAAAGTTTATTAACTAGAGAAAGATAGATCTTAAGTGATAAGCTATAGAAGTCAGAATTGGTTACAAAAGAAATAAACAGATAAACATGCAAGCTAATTCCTAAATTTTACTAAGGCTAATAAGCTTAAAAGCAAAAGATGTGTCTCACTGTGAGTTGCAATACATTTCCAGGCTGGGTCCCCCCGCCTCCCCGCACTTTGTTCAGTTCTCTGAGAGTCATTGTTGTCATGAGCAGAGAGGTGGCTAGGGACATTCCCCCTCGCCCCCTTCTTGCACCCTAGCCCTTTGTGCTGGAAACATCCTTGCTGGATCATAGGGACAGGCAGTTCCATTGTGTACTGAGCGCCAAACTGTCCTTTGGATGAATTGTAAATTTCTTGTTTGCAACTCCTCACCACCCCCTCCTTTCTGGAGAATGTCCAATCAAGCTGGTAATGACTCTTTAGCACTTTGCTGGTATGCTAGGGTGTCTTTGTCTCTGAGAAATTGAGTTGTGGACGTTACCCAGAACTCCAACACGTTTCAGTAACCATCATAATTTTACATGCAAGTGTTGTTGCACACATTTCAACAGGATCATAATATTCAGCAGATTGAGTTTTCAAATGATACTGCACAAGGCATACTTTGTACAAAATATAACATAACCATATAAAAGTGGTGAATGTGAGCTACAGCGTGTCATAGGTGTACTAGGAATAAACATAATTACATTGATTTAAAAATCAGCATATCTGACCTCTCTTGGAGATACTGTGGATAATTGTCTAGGCATAAGTTAGAATGTGTTCTACATTCCTACATGATACTAATTTCTGGAATGGAATTCAGGAGTTTATTCCTAAAGTTATGAGATAGACAGACAGTCCTATTCACTGAGGCCTTTTCTGTTGTAGGTGCAGCACCCAAACAGGAACTCCTGAGTTCTTTAGGGAAACTTGTAAATGAAAAGCGCTGCTGGGCATAAACATATTTAAATGCCTTCTTTGTTGCAGAAAGATTTATCACTAACTGAAAATAGAATTGACTGGAATCAAACTTGCTACAACAGTCAGTCAAACAGACCAGTCAAAACTTAGCTGAATTTGCAAAAGAAATTTCAGCAATACAAGTGTTTTTTTTTCCGTTTTTTTTAAAATTACAGCTATATTTGATAGGTTTCAGAGGAACAGCCATGTTAGTCTGTATTCGCAAAAAGAAAAGGAGTACTTGTGGCACCTTAGAGACTAACCAATTTATTTGAGCATGAGCTTTCGTGAGCTACAGCTCACTTCATCAAATGCATCTGATGAAGTGAGCTGTAGCTCACGAAAGCTCATGCTCAAATAAATTAGCTATATTTGATGTTCAATTCTCTATGGTTTTTATTCTGCAAAGACTGTGGTCTTGCCTACATAAGGAAATCGTGCAGAATAGGTATTCCACATTAACTCCCCATGTGAACGCTCTTCTTCTCCTTTTGTGGTTTAACTTAGGGGTTGTTTAGATGAATTGTATGCCGCAAGTTGGGTGTAAATCTACATTGCATTAGTGTGCTGTCCGTGTGGACCCTGCTACCACACATGAAAAGTTCCCTAGTGCGCACTCACCTGCTCTGCTTTGAAACAGGACTAGATGAAAGTGCCCTACGGGACTTGTAGGATGTGGTAGCAGGGTCTGCAGCGATAGTGTGTGGCAGGCTTGTGCACTGTAGATTTATAACCCAACTTGCCACCCACTCACTGTTCATCAAACCGTTACTTCACTTTGGAAGTGGATTAAGCTTAAGTGCAAAAAATCACTCAGTGCAAAATAGGAGGGTCCACACCGGAGACTAGTGCAGCATAGCTATTGTTCTTTAAAGTCACACCCTAGTTTATTCCACACCTAACATCCCCTTGTAGCATCCCCTCTGTGTGCCGTGAGTAGCCCTATTGAAGTTAGCGGGACCATTTGCCATGTGTGAAGTTAAACACATGAATAAATCTTTGCGTAGGATTGAGGCCAATGACTTTTTTTTTTCTCTCTCCCAACTGTGGCTTTGGAAAAAACTTCTTTGCCATAGTGACTGGCGCTCTCCTTGCATGGTAGTACTAATGGGCTTTAGGGAATTAACTTTGTAGGCTGCAGAGTGTAAATACTTCACTTTACCGTGCATGTCACTGTTTGTTTACAGACTTTATATACTCACATTGTGACAGACATCAAGAATATAAATGCTAAACACAAGAACAATAAAGTGAATACAGTAAGTATGCTGGCTTCCAGATTTACTTTGAATGAATGTTTTTTATTATGAAAACTTTTTCAAACTCGCTCATAATTTTCCCAATTTCTTCTTCTTGAGGCACTGCAGAACTTCATGTATACTATGTTAAGAGACAGCAACCCTACTGCAGCCAAGATATCTCTGGATGTGATGATCGAATTATATAGAAGGAATATTTGGTGAGTTTCATTGCACAGAATTGGTTCTTGATTATTCTGGGGAAACCCAGGATGGGTAAAAATCTGATTTAAAAAAAAAATACTTTTTTATTTAAATTTGAAATGGACAACTTTTGTTAAGGCCTAAACGTACTGTAATCTATTACAATCATTTAAACTAAACACAAAAAAATAATATTAAGAAGAACATCTTTGCTGCCTAATTTTAAAGAAAGTCAGACCACTGCACTGGTGGAAGTCTCTGGCTAAGTACCTAAAACCAAAGTTTGTTGAAGGGCTAACTCAGCTTTTCATAGCAGTAGCCTCTATTGCATGTACTGAGAGAATATTTTCTTCATTTCAGTTTATTCAGCTAGTTCAGGTCAATGACTATTTTATTCATAGGTAGAAAAAAATTGGGAGTTGGAAAAAGCAGAAAATCTTGTTTTCCTCTTCCAATCTATGAATAAAAATTAAGTGGGAGAGGATCAGATCTCCTAGTTCTAAAATCTTGAGAGACATGGTGGCAATCAATTCAGTTCGCTAACTACAGATAATACTTCTTTAGTTTAATAAGTCAGTTAGTTTTAAATGCAAAACATGTTTTGATAAACTTTTTTCCTATTGTATCCAGCATGTTTAAGATAGCTTTAACAAATGAAAAACATTTTAAAATGCTGTTTTTGTGCATTTTAATTGATTTTTGAATTTCCGTCCAAATAGATCTTACACAAATCATAAGCAAAAAACAATCTTTTAATAAATAAGAAATGTTACTTGTTGCTTTCTAACGTAACAGAAAATGTAAAAATTAAGAATCTGAATACATGTATTTAAGCAATAAAATTGTTTAAATAAATGTGTATAGAGGTAGTGCATCTTCCTGGTTAGAAAAAAGAAGCATCAAGTGTGATGTAAAGGCTATATTTTGTTCAAATCAACCTGTTTTAATGGTTCCCAACCAATAAGAATCGATCTTTCTTTTAAAATCATAGAAGGTTAGGTTTGGAAGGGACCTCAGGAGGTCATGTAGTCCAACCCCCTGCTTGAAGCAGGACCAATCCCCAATTTTTGCCCCAGATCCCTAAATGGCCCCCTCAAGGATTGAACTCAGAACCCTGGGTTTAGCAGGTCAATGCTCAAACCACTGAGCTATCCCTCTTTTGGAAAATAACAAAAAGGTACAAATGCAAAACAAGTTTAAAATTGTTTATTTAAATCAAGGTTTTCCACTTGCTGATCTCAGTCATGATTTTAATCACAGATTTTAATCGCTTTGATTTTAAATCAGTGCACCCTGCGGCAATCCATTTGTAGTGTGGTTGTATTGTGTTTTGTAGAACAGTCTAGAAGGGCAGAAGTGACTGAGAGACTTTGCAGGAGAAGGTGCGTAGGAAGAATCTTAGACGTTTTCCTTTTAAGAACAATAAACAAGTATACTTCAAACCATCAACCAAAACCTGTACATACACATGCTTTCTTGAGCCTCTCTATTGGTGCATTAAATCTTGAGTATAGTTCTGCTGTATAGTAAGTCGTGAAGTCCAACTATGGTTGATGCCCAAGCCCTTGGGTACACTTGTGGCAGTGTGTATAGTGCATGTAGCTCCATGCAGGGGGGAAAGGCGTCAGCAGTGAGGAGGTAGCGGGACACTACACTGCTAAAAAATATCAGTGTCGACCTGGGAGGCACTGCTTGGGTGTGTCGAGAGATGTGTAGGGTATTTCCCGAAGTTTCTGGTGAGTTTTGTACTCTACTTGCCTAAGCGGTGTCTCCCCAGCGACATTGATATTTACACCCGTGCTAGCCGGGTGTGCGCTGTCTGTATTCTACACACTGCTGCAAGTGTGGATGTACTTCAAGAGAAGAAATAGGATTTGCATGGTTAGGATTTGAAAAGAAGCCTGTACATTGATGCTACGTGCTTGGTGAATTAATGTTTTTAGTTGTGAGTTGGTTTTCCGGAGTAAAAGCAAGCGCTGTTTTGAATAAGCAGGAGGCGGAGTAAGCTCCAAGATGGCGATGTATTAGAAGAAAAACAGAACTTGAAGTATTAATGGAGTTACACAGATGTTTACTGATTCCACTGCTGCCTTAGTTCTGGTGCTGCTGCTCTCAGCAGATGTTTCACAGTGAGGAATAGCAAGGGAAGATCTTCATTTGCCCATTGTTTTAGGTTTTAATTATCCCTAAGTGTGTGTCGGTCGGTCAGGGGGGAGTTGTCACCTAACTTGTACCCCCTTTTAACCTCCTGGTCCTGCCATGGAAATAAACTGTACAGATAAGAAATACTGCTCCTTTTGAGCATTTTCTGCCTCTTTGGGATCTCCCCAGTGTTCTGCAGGGGTGGTTTGCACAGCCCTTCGTTCCTTATTCCAGGCAGAATTCCTAGGGACTTCAGCAGGAGTTCAGCCTGACTGTGCGGCAGGACTCCTTTTACAGAAAGGAGAGAGAACAGCTGGTGCATGAGGCGCATTGGCAGAGCATGTTTGGGCTTCAGGAGCTTTGTTCATGGGCTGATCTTGGATATACCATGAATCTGTTGGACAGGCAGGCAGATAAGTCATGCACTGCCACAATGGGTCTGCCAGCTCTAGAACAGCAGCGTAATAATGCCTCTGGTACAATGGAGGGGAAAGAAATATTCCAATAGAGTAAAAACTGGGAAAACTTAAAATATATAGATGACCATCTTACTTATAGACTCATAGGCTTTAAGGCCAGAATGGACCATCATGATCATCTACTTGGGCCACAGAACCTCACCCACCCACTCCTCTGGCTGAATGACTGAAGTTTTCAAATCATGATTTAAGACTTCAAGTTACAGAGAATCCACCATTTACTCCAGTTCAACCCAGCAAGTGACCCGTGTCCCATGCTGTGGAGGAAGGCGAAAAACATCCAGGGTCTCTGCCAATCTGACCCTGAGGAAAATTACTTCCTGATGCCACATATGGTGATCAGTTAGACCCTGAGCATGTGGGCAGGACTCACCAGCCTGACACCTGGGAAAGAATTCTGTGTAGTGACTCAGAGCCTTTCCCATGTCGTGCCTCATCTCCAGCAGTTGGGGATATTTGCTACCAGCAGTTGCAGATGGGCCATGTGCCATTGGAGGGAATGGTATGATGAGATTGCCTACATCATACCTTCCCCTTTCAAGGACAGGGCTTTTGCAGTATTGCTAAATAGCTTTATAGGTATTTAAGAGTCAGCTCAAATTCAGTTCAGGGCCAACAGAATTTATAAATCTCTCTTAGAGGTTGTTTCTGGCAAACCTTTCCAGTAGCTTTTGTAATGAAAGCCAAATCTCTCTGCATTTAATTTTAACAGGCAATGTCTTAGTACTTGAAGTATCTTTTACTGTGGGGCCTGTCATTGCTTTTATGGAGTCATCTTCGTTGTCAAAGTGCAATTGTGTGTTCTTCTCCAGTGTGAACTTAGATAAAGCATATATGCTTCTGGGTATCTAGACCTGATCATTTTTGTGTAGGAAAAATGACAACAAATGGCACGGAGAAACATCATCTCTTGGTTTGTATTTGAAATCACTGATGGTGTGATGAAAGCAGCTAGTATTGTGGGATTTGTTTCCAGTGAATCTGCTTTGCATTAAATCTACCATGATGTCTTGTTTTTTAAAATCAGCAAACTTCTTGGTGAAGGTACATTAATGTTTTGCTTATTTCAGGAATGATGCCAAAACAGTCAATGTTATCACAACAGCCTGCTTTTCCAAAGTCACAAAGGTGGGTGGAAATCGATCTGAAATGCCAGTATATTTTGCTTCAGCTGTTTTTGCCATATCTCTGTCTGTCACATATGTGTGTGTGTGTGTATGTGTATATTTATATATGTATTTGTGCAACTTCCTTTCTATACAGTAGAACCTCAGAGTTATGAACACCTTGGGAACGGAGGTTGTTTCTAACTCTGAACAAAACGTTATGGTGGTTCTGTCAAAAGTTTACAACTGAACATTGTCTTAACACAGCTTCGAAACTTTACCATGCAGAAGAAAAATGCTGCTTTTAATTGTCTTAATTTCAATGAAACAAGCACAGAAACAATTTACCATGTCAAATCTTTTTTAAACGTTCCCATTTTTTTAAATAGTTTACGTTTAACGCAGTACTGTACTGTATATCCTTTTTTCTGTTTGTGGTCTCTGCTGCTGCCTGATTGTGTACGTCTGGTTCCAAATGAGATCTGGTGTTCATAACTCTGCTGTTTGTAACTCTGAGGTTCTACTGTAATTATTCACAAAGGTGTTTCATTAACTTTTGGCTACAAATAGCTGGAGCACATCTTAATTTATTTCTGATGTAGAGAAATAGATTTGTCACTTCTGCCCACAGATCTGCAGCGATAGAAGTTAGTAGCCTAGCTATTGCTGGCTGGTGTGAGATTCCATACCCCCTCGCGCTGGGCAGTGCTAGCCAAAAGGGACTCTCGGGAGCATTGCCTCACGTTGATCGGCACTGTTGCGCTTTCTTGGCTCCAACAGTGAAAATAACTGGTATCCCAGCTGCCCGTTCCCAGAAACAACCCTGTATCTGGATGCTGCAATGGTGGTGGTTTTAGAAATGCCTAGGATCCGTGGGTAGGTTCGTTATATGATAAAGGCCCATACTCTCTTTCTTAAAACCACCATAGGCTTGTGAAACTGAGCATAGGATCTCAAGCTGCTGCCAAAGTTACCATGAATGGCCTAATTGCTCAGAGCAATAAAACTAAAATTGTACTAGCAACTCAGGAAACCAGACTTTGCACAATAGGTTGTGTCTGCGCTATGGTTGTGTCAGTTGACGATCACACCTTTTCACATCCTTGGCTGACGTAACTCTGCTGGCTGCAGGTCCTGGTTTTGATGCCGTTGTGCTGGCATAGCTTGTCTTGTTTAGGGGCTGGTGGAATAAACTATGCTGGTGAGCAGTGTAGCCGGTAATAAGATCCATCCACACTGGGGTGCTTTGCTGATATACCTGTGCTAGTAAAGCAGTCCTCGTGCAATAGTACAGGTTCACGTGGGCCATTGTGAAAGTCCTGCTACACTTCGATCAGTTGCATGCCAGTGCTTCACTGCTGCAAGACTGGCAACAAAGACTGACAGTGGTTTTTTGCACGCCTAGTGTTTTCAGTCAGCCTGTCCATTTTACGCCATTTCCTATCTCTTATAAGCAACTGGTGACCTAACATGGGGACCTTTGCCTCTTGTAAACTAATTCTTCCCCCCTCTATCCCCCCAAATGCCCATGTTTTTCAGATACTAGTTGCTGGTTTGAAATTCTTCCTTGGGAAAGATGAAGATGAGAAAAGAGAGAGTGATTCAGAATCTGAGGTTAGTCCAGAGGCTAATTCTCCTGCTGTCACTTTCTCAAACTCTGCAACATGTATCTACAGTAGGTATTGTGTATCTTGCATTGTCCTCTCTGCTCCATCCAGGATGCCAGCCACCTACACCCATTTGTTGATTCGTCTCCCCGCCACCAGCCAGAAAGAACAGACGGGATTGTGTGTTAATTTGCCCATCAGTTTGAGAGATTCAGTCTCCTCAGGACATGTGCGTTATTGTTAATGGGAAAGACGCCTGCCCGTTGAGGGGAAGATCAGGACAACAGTCCCCTTCGTTTTCAAAATCATTAAGGGCCACTTAGTGACTGGCCCATTTGTAGTACCCGGGCTGATGGTTGCATTGCTGGCAGCATGGGAAGTCAGAACCTGCATTATAAGAATGAGCTAGTAGGAAAAACAATTTTTTCCCCTTACAGACTGTGAGAATGTAGTTGTTTCTAGTAGTGCCCTCAACATGCCGGGCACTACACATTGATGATACAAAGCAGGTGTGGCCTCTGCCCTGAAGAGCATACACTGTAAAGTACTTTTCCAGGAAGAGTGTGATGCTTTTAGGTTCAGTCTTGTAGTTGACCACTGGCCAAACTCCAATTAAAGTCAGTTGTTGATGTGCTTGAGTGGGGATTTGGGGATTGAGCTCTGTGATTGTTTAGAAGGTAAAGAATTACCAGAGGCTTCATGTAGACTTGTGATTGAGGAACTGAACTGGGAATCAGGAGACCAGGGTTGTTTTTTTTGTTTTTTAATTAAAGCTCTGCTGTAGACTTTGCATGTGACTACTTAATCTCTCTGTGGCTCGGTTCTTCATCTGCAAAATGGGGAAAATAGCACTTCTTTATCTCACGTGGTGGTGTGAGAATAAATTTACTGATATGTGGGGAGTGCACAGAGGTTAGTGATGGGGGTCAGACAAGTACATAGATGCTATTACCCTAGCCATCCTCCCACCCCCAGCTACTTTATCTGATCTGTACTGAGATCCTTTTAAAGCGTTACTCATGAATTGGGTATTGTTGAATAATACGTTACTATTGCCTAATGACTAGTACCATGTCTGTTGTATTGCTTTATTGATGTGCTGTTACCTGGTCCTAAACCTTGGTGTATGTGTTCTCTTGTATGAAGTCAAAGTTTTAAGTATTGAAATGAATGTCAGGCTGGCTACATGGCAAACGTATGGAGGTAGAGTGAATTGGTTTCCTATTTTTGAAAACCTGGTGTGTGACCCTGACAGTTGTTGCGGTCAATCAGCTGCAATATCCTATTTGAAGCCTCATTCCCTTGAGTCATGCTCTGTCTGATGTTCCTTTCCGAAGGATGAAGGGCCTACAGCCAGAAACCTCATGGTGAGGTATGCAACCGGAAAGAAAACCACCAAACACAAGAAGAAGATGGAGAAAGCCATGAAGGTTCTGAAGGTAAGGGAAGCCCAGTTGGACATTTTGGCATCGCCATGGAACTAGCTGCAGAATCCAAGTGGTAGAAAGGGAAACAGCAGTAAATTGAATACTTGTAAAGCTAAATAGGATTTTAAAAGCAGTCAGGCCTAACAATGCAGGGCTCAACTTAATCAAACGCCTAAAGATGACATGCTCTTCTTCTTTTTTCCCGTTTTGAGACCATAGTCCTCTACATCCGGTTCTCTCCTTCATTGGTTCATACACCGGGACCCTTGAAGACCTGGATTTTTGTGCTCTCCTGTGTCCCTTTTTAGCCAGCTACCCTTTGTCATGTCTTCTAAGCAAAGCTCCCTTTGCTGCTCTGGCAGCAGCCAGCTTGACATACTCATGTTCACGTGGAAGAACGTGTTGAAAAGAGACTTTGCTAGGTTAGATTGTGGACCAGGTTCTGCCTTGATTTGCATCTCATTCAATCTTTTTGCGTGGGGTACACTGTAAGTCAGGGCACGATTGTGGCATGTTTTCTGAACTGCTGTTTCCCATGCCCAGTGCCTGGTTGGGAACTAGTATCTATATAGCTAGAGGTATGTTTCAAGAGTTTGAGTGGAGCTTTCGTTACGCAGTTTGGATTGACTTTGCCTAGAGTCGTATGGCTGAAAACCACACGTAACTCAGGAAATGTTGAAAGTGCTGATGAACTTTACTATTTAAAATCAAAACATGCCTCTTAAAGCTGGTAATGTGAAATGGCAGTTTTCCAGAACTAATGTCTGAAATTAGCTTAGAACAACTCTTCCACTGAAAGGAAAAAGTGTCTCCTTGTCTCTTGCTGTCCTACAGAAACATAAGAAGAAGAAAAAGGCAGAGGTGTTTAATTTCTCCGCTATTCATTTGATCCATGATCCCCAAGGTAAGCGTGGTGTCCAAGCCAATTGATATACATGCGCCTTGGAAATTCTAATACATGTTCGAGCCAAGATACTGATGTTCAGGCAAAACTGCAATGGGAGAGACACCTATGCTCCACTGTTTGAACGTGGGCGTGATATGGAATGCTTAGATACCACACTTCGTCACCAGATCTCAAAGCACTTCACAAATGTTGATTAAATCTCACAGCACCTTGCAAGTTAGGAGGAATAGTCATAGATTTTAAGGCTAGATGGGACCACTGTTATGCTCATCTAGTCTTGACTTCCTGCATAATGCTGGCCACAGAGCTTCACCTGGTAACTTCTGGTATGTAACTTCTGTCCGAGCTAAGCTTATCTTTATCCAGTCTTGCTTTAAAGACTTCCTGGAGAAACTGAGGGAAATAGTGGAAACTAATTACCATTCATCACTTAGTCGTTTAAAAATTTGCCCCTTATTTCTAGTCTGTTTTTGTCTAATAGTACTCTTTCCCTCTGGACAGCATAAACTTGTTTTTTTTCAGATAGGCCTCCACTCAGCCTCCCTTTTAGTGCATGTTAACTGGCTTTAAATATTGACCCTAAAACCTTAAAGCTATGGAGCTGTGTAAAAGGCATGTGCCATCCGTGTGCCCTGCTTGAATTCCCCAGTTGGGCGTCAGTAAGTTGATTTTAATAGATCTCGAGACTTTGGTTCAGAGCTCCCAAACTTAGTTTGCAGAGCAAAGTCTCTGGCCAGGCTGGTCTCCTGAACTGAGAGAGGCTCCATGCAGGCTATGCTGGATGCTTCTAGTCCTGTTTTCCTTGCTCAGCTTCCTTTTCCTGTTTAAATAGCCCACCCACAGGATGGTACAGGGCCTCCTTGGTTGCACCCAGGATACTTCTCTGGAGTCCTTCTAGACCCAACTTCAGGGCCTTACACAGGAGCCCAGCTTTGCTCCCTGTGGTTCCTCCTGCAAATTGAGTTTTCTCCACCCTTTCAAGCCCAGGTGTTTCAGGCTGTCACCCGATCCCAGTGAGTCCAGCCCCTTTAGGCAGGGAAGCAGCTAAGTATGGCATAAGCAGGGCTGATTGAACAGGGCTGGCCGGCCCCAGGCCTCTTGGCCCTTAAAGGAGCAAGCCACCCTGTGACAAGCCCATTGATTTACCGTTTTGCTTGTTTATCCTGTTCCCAATTTTATGAGCAATTTTTTTCTTTAGTCATGTTTTTTCTTCTTGCTGATCTAATGCAGTAACTCATTCACCTTGTGTATCATCAGGGTGAGGCTATCTGAGCCTTAATAGCTGCTTATCTAATGATCTGTGTCTGTCTTATTCTGTGAAGTCTCTTGGGATGTGACACTGACGCACATCCTGCTCTGACATCCTCGAAACCCCAGTGCTATTACTTCCTGCTGACACTCCATGTTTCCAGATTTTGCAGAGAAACTCCTAAAGCAGCTCGAGACCTCCAAGGAACGATTTGAAGTGAAGATGATGCTCATGGACCTTATCTCTAGACTAGTTGGAATACACGAGGTACACATCATGTTAACTGCACTGGGGTTTTGAGCTCTCATGTCGGAAGTAGGCTTGTCAGGCAGTAATGGGTCTGAATGTGATCAAGATGGCACAGTGGGTTAACGCTCTGGCCTTTCACCACTGGAGACTTTGTTGTTGTAAGTGAAGATGAGTTTGACTTAATTTTATTTCCTAATGGATTTAGGTCTATCGCACCACGCCATTCCATGTCTGGCACGGTTAGCTGGCCTGAGAGGGCCAGCAGTGTAACAGTAAGTGCCTTACAGGCCAGGCCAGGGGTGTTAGAACAATGTGTATTGTGGGGTTGCTGAGAGCCATAGAACCAAACTGTAAACCCTGTATATGATGGAAACCCCTTCAAGCCCCTAGTTCGAGCACCTGTGGGTCAGGAATCCCTGAGGTTTATGATAACTACATAAAGGAGTGTCCATCCTGGGATCTGAATGTTTTTGGCAGTCTCTTCAAAGTACTGTCAATCATAAATGGACTCTGGCAATTCCCCACCTAACAGCAACTTGAGTATAACTCAACTGTATTAATCCCCACAAACAGAATTTCTACAGTCTTCCAACTTCTCCTTCTGTCCAGCTCCCTGTGGGCGCAGGAGAAAAGATGGGCCTTGCAGCCTGTCCTGGGGGTTGGCAAACTCAGGTGGTACCTGAGGGAACCTGCCCAGCCAGGGCCCGTGCCATCTGGTTCTGCTGGGACTGTCTCTTCATTCCAGACTGTGACAGAAGAAAAATTGAGTGACTTGACAATTTGAATTGAACAGACACTATATGAAACCCTAAATGTTCAATATTGAAGTGCAATGGTTTCGGGTCCATTGCCTAGTGGGTACATGGCCATGTGATGAAGGCCACACCCCTGACAGGTGCCCCTTTGACAGTCTTCTTGAAGACTAGCTTCCATGCCCACTCGCTCCTCAGTTACCCGCTTGTGCTTACAGGGGACCTCAAATGGGACACTTGCATGACAGCCCCAATTCAAAGTCCGTGAAAGCCAATGGGATCCCTTCCTTCCATTGACTTCAATGGGATTTGGATTGGGATCAGTATTTACTTTATTAAAGAAAATATTGAACATCTCATTGCAGTATTTCCCCCGACACCCCCCCCCAATCCAAAGCAGGAAGACACATTTAGAATCCACTCTCTGTTACAAACACGTTGTCCAGTAACACCAATGCAGTCTGTGTATACCATTGTCTGTACAAAATGATTATGAGTGTTTCACAGCCCCTCCGTCTAGACAGGCAGATATAAGAGAGGAAACGCTGGCAGGGTTTTTTAATCCAGTATCAACTTTCCTCCCCACAGCTCTTTCTCTTTAACTTCTATCCCTTTGTGCAGCGGTTCATGCAGCCCCATCAGAGAGGTAAGCAACCATCGACAAAACATGTATCCTCTCCCTGCCTTTGGGTTTTGCATTCCCATATTGCCCTGCGTGCAGTCAGTTTCGAGCAGTGGTGCTGTAGGATAAAGGGTGGACAATCAAGTTTGCCCTGTCAGATAGGGAGGGCGTGGAAGGAGGAGGGTGAAGAACAGAGATGCAGTTTTGCTACGAGGTGTTGGTATGGGATACGGAAACGGTGTGTTCCGTACTTCTGAAAGTGGGAGCTAGAATTCTTTAAATACAGACTAGAATGGATCCCCTGAATTCTGTGAGTTAAACCAAGCTGCTACAAGAAGCTGTCTGTAATTGTTTAGCAAAGTTTGTCTCTCCTGCTGCACCATAGTTAACGTTGCAACACTATTTCAGTCTAGAGCAGCGGCTCTCAACCTTTCCAGACTACTGTACCCCTTTCAGGACTCTGATTTGTCTTGTGTGCCCCCAAGTTTTGCCTCATTTAAAAACTACTTGCTTACAAAATCAGACATAGTGTCCTGTGATGCTTTTGTATTTTTTTTACCGAAAAATGGCTTACTTTCTCATTTCTCATATAACTATAAAATAAGTCAGTTGGAATATAAATCTTGTACTTACATTTCAGTGTATGGTATACAGAGCTGTATAAACAAGTCATTGTCTGCATGAAATTTTAGTTTGTACTGACTTCGTGAGTGCTTTTTATGGAGCCTGTTGTAAAACTAGGCAAATATCTAGATGAGTTGATGCACCCCCTGGAAGACCTCTGCCTACCCTCAGGGGTACATGTACCCGTGGTTTAGAACCAGTGCTCTAGAGCAGACTTTTCAAAGTGCTCTCCAGCCCATATGCAGTGGTTAAAAAGCGGTGGCCAGCTGAGGGCCTGGGATAAACTTTGTGGTATCAGATTGCGTGCGTTATTGTGACAGCGAGTGGTTGAGGATCTGGTTTTGCAAGGCTCCAAATGACCTTCATGTTCTCTATGGAAGTTCAGGGTGCTGAGCTTCCTGCAGGATGGGACCCAGAATTAGAAGTTGTGATGCACGGAGATACTTATAAGTCTCTGAAAGCAGAAATGGCTGTCTGTTGACTGTGGAACCTTTCTCTCTTTCTCTCCTACTCTTCTAGAAGTGACCAAGATCCTTCTTTTTGCTGCGCAAGCGTCTCATCAGCTGGTGCCGCCAGAGGTCAGGATCCTTCCAAATCTCATTCATATTAAACAGTAGACTGTGTGCAAACACTGGAAATATAACTGCTGAACGTGTTGACAGAGCTATGCTGAGAGAGACAAAAAACCTGCCCAATCGTGTTAAAACTCACAGGCTGGAAGTGTTGTTGGATGCTGGGTATTGTTTAAGTAGGGGGAAAAGTAATGCAAGGAGTGATTTCTCCGTTGTGTCTGCTCAGTTCCTCTGAGATTACATCCTCTTGGTGTCAGGTGGGGTTGAAAAGCACATGCTGATCTTTCAAAATGGGAACACTTGTGCTTATTCTGTGGTTTATGTTCCATAAAAAAAAAGGTAATGAATACCTGTGACTCTTTGGGGTTCACCCAGGCCAGTAAGGGGTTCAGTCAACACCTGCCTTGCAACTCTGGGTGTCTTAAATCCTATGCTTCTGTAACGTGGGGTTTTTTATCCATGAAAGCTGATGCCCAAATAAATCTGTTAGTCTTTAAGGTGCCACCGGACTCCTCGTTGTTTTTGTTCAAAGTAAGAGTCTCACCACAGTTGTTTCTCTGCATGGCTGGCTAGTTCTTAGCCAGGGTTCAATCACGGAGCCCACAGTGCTCTGTTTCTTTGACTGTTCAGGTGAAGGATAACTTCAGGTGTTCTCCCCCTCTCTTTTTGTAGTCTAGTAAACCTCTGAAACGTGTTCTTCTGAAGAAAGAGGTTCTTTCCCCTGCTGAGTGTAGACTCCATTCTGCCTGGTGCAGACACCAGGCTGGCTTCACCCCTGCTTGTAATTTTTACACTGCAAATGATTTTCCTGCAATCTCCCATACCAATAAATAGCCCCCTGTCCGTGGCAACACCTGTCTTGTGGGGCTGGTCCCTTTCATTTGTCTCGAAAAACCTATTTATCAACTTCCCCTGACATGCCTGGTTAAAACACATTTTAGTCACACATTTCTGGATAACTCTTTGCAGGTTAATCGTATATACATCACACAAGAATGTGAATGATCAGTGAGTTAGTTGTTTTTCAGTGATTTATCACATGCCACTTTTTGGATAAATATCATGACGACAGTGGATGGGGATATACTGAGTGGGTCAGGCCAGCTGAGTCTGGAGCTCCTTGCCATTTAGCCTTGGGATGCTCTTAGGGTCACAGACTGGCTCCCATATATCACTTTTAATCAAAGTAAATCTCCAAATGGCTTTACAAAGGAGGTCAGAAGCATTACCCCCATTTTACAGACGGGGACACCGAGGCACAGAGCAGTGATGTGTCTTGATCGAAGTCACTCAGCAGGCCAGTGGCAGATCCAGGTCTGCTGAATCCCCATTCAGTGCTGTATTCACTAGGCCGCATTTCCTCCCTGTAGTAAGATTTGTATCGCAAAAATTCTCCATGGCTTAGAATGTCTCTTAAAGGGCCAAGTCCCAAGCTTTGAGTGAGTTTGCCCTTTGTGAATATGGCATTGTATGCAAATGAGTATAACTACAATAAGAATGTGTGTTCATCTGTCTTTACTTTCCTTTCTAGATCATCCAGTCAGTATTAATGACCATAGCCAACAACTTCGTCACTGACAAGAATTCTGGGGAAGTTATGACTGTAGGGTAGGTATGAAAGTTCATGATAACTCAGTCTGGGATCCGTGGGGAACCTGGGTTGCTAGAAACAATGTACAACTCATAGAAAATAGCTTGGTGTATCTCTTTAAAAAAACACCCATTGAAATAAAAAAATAATCTTTTGTGCAGTGTGCTTTGAGTTTAGTAAACTATTTTTAGTTGCCAACACTGCTATGTCACTGGTCGTAGAGGTCATTGGTTAGCACCAGGATGCTCCCCAGATGCGGCTGAATCCCTGCTTTCCTGGGTAACAAGATGTTTGGGAATGTTCTGCGCGTATCCCATTTATCTGTAAACTCTTAAGTACGTCATGATTTTTCAGGGTGTAGATACCATGATGGTCAAGACTTCATTCCCTATCTATACAATGACTGAAACTGTGCTAGCTACAACTAAGTTTAACCATAGCTGTTGCCAGCAGAATGCTAACCCAGTTTCTGCGCCCAGTATAAACTGGCTTATTTTGCTGAGACCCGTGCCATAGACTGATTGATGTATAATAATAATTGTACAACATATTGTATCTTTTATAATCGAGATATAAGTTGAGTCTGAGGAAAAGGTGTCCCTGTTCATACCAACTGCATGGGGCTGTGGGTGGAAATATGCTCACTAGTTCGAGCCATGCTTTAAGAATGGTTCTTGCTAAAATGGTTTCAACCATAAGGAGGAGGTGGGGGGTGGACCTTAGAGAGAGACTGGGGAGGGTGAGGGTCAATGTGAGGGTAAAGTTACTTTGAAAGGGAACTCTCCTGTGTGAGCATACAGGTTCCCAGCATAGGCTGTCCTTTACTGATCTAACCATGGATGAATGCAGTCAAGATTCCTGACTCCTCTAGGCACAGACATGGTCCACAGATTTAAAGGGTTTTAGCTTTTCTGTATGGGCTGCCCACTTTCACCCTTTGGTCTTGGATGCTTTCTAGCTAGTTAGTGATTGCTGTGCCAGTACTTTATCTTAATTTTCAAAGATGCTGAGCACTTGCACCTCTGGAAACTGGTCCATCATGGTGGCTAGGAGAACAGACTATGCAAAGCTGCCATGCTTTGGATAGGCTACCTCGGGGGTTGAGTCCCGTGCTGCTCTTTTCTCTAACACTGAGTTGTGTGCCTCAAGATGACCGTCCCTGAGTCTCAGACACGGTCGTGCAACATGCTGCAGCCAGGGTCTTTTCTAACTGAGACAATTTTTTTTTAAAAACTTTGATTTTTCTAGAATGAATGCGATAAAAGAGATAACTGCGAGATGTCCTCTGGCTATGACCGAAGACCTGCTCCAAGACCTTGCCCTGTACAAATCTCATAAAGATAAAAGTAAGTTTAGTGCTTTGCAGGTGGAAAAACGTGTTGCTCTTTTTTTTTTTTACCCATGTTTATGCTGAGTGTTCTGATGTAAGGAATAGGTTAGAGTTCAGAGTATTTCTCATGTTAGTCTCCTGTACCTCTGTGTCTGTTTCAGGTGTCCTCATGTGAGAGATGAAGTAGTCAGAGCAGTTGGGAGGGGAAAAGGGTGGTTGCCTAGCAGCTACCTGAACTGAAGCTACGTAAGGGCTTGATCTTGCACAGTTTGATCAATGGGAACGTTGTCAATTGATTGATCACTGACTGTAGGGGATGCAGGTTCATGTCCTAAATAAATATTGATTGTGTGAGTTACCTTGGAAATGTCTGATCTAGTTCTGGAGACACTTTCTTCTTCACTTCTTTTTTAGAAGTAACAGATTCACACCGATATTGGTAGCTGCTTAAATTTTGAAAAAGGATTTTTGGGGAGATGTATCCAATAAACAAAACTAGAGTAGAGCAAAGAAGGCTAAGAGTAGAAGGTAGTTTTACAAAGTAGGTAGTCCAGAGTAGAAGGGAAAGACATGGATTCTCAAATAGAATAATGCTAAGAAGTTACTATTGAGAAAGATGTAGGAAATATAGCTTTCCTTTTATATAGTTAAAATATAGTTTTCCTTTTACCCTCCTCCCCACCCACAGAACAAAACCTAATTCTAGCTCAATGCTTTCCTTTTCATTTGATCCAGATCCTGCTTTTTCCAAGGTGTTTGTTTATTCCTGGTATTTGTTTTGTAGATGTAATGATGTCTGCAAGAACTCTGATACATCTCTTCCGATCACTGAATCCGCAAATGTTACAAAAAAAATTCAGGGTAAGTGATGTTTATGTGCATTAATTTGTATCTGAAATGCAGGGTTGTGATCCTGAAAATGAGGATGAAATAAATTGAACATCTCTAGCTAGTGAACATGGTTAACTGTGTGCATACTTTTAACTAAGAATATGTGCATTGCATTTTGCCCTGGAGAGATCACCTAAAGGCAAAAGGCAGTGTGGCCTAAGGACAGAGCACTGGACCTAGGAGACATGGGTTCTATTCCTGGCTCTGCCACTCGCTTACTAGGTGACCTTGGGCAAGTCACTTCCCATCTCAGTTTCCCCATCTGTAAAATGGGGATAACGGTGCTTCTTTGCAAAGTTGCTTGAGAGCTGTAGAGTATCTTTGTCCCCACCGCTTCACTGCAGAATCCATCGTTAATCTATGGAGAGGAGATGTTTTTCAATAAAGTGCTGTGCTCTGAAAATGCAATATCAGAAGCTCTTCATCATCATTTATTTTTCTGTGTGACTAAAACCTAACCTTGTTAAAAGAAGTGGGTGGAGGGATTATCTGAACCTGGAGGGCTGTGGATCTCTGTTGTTCCAATGCTCATTAATGTATAAAGCTTGTTCGGAATAGGCCCAAGCTGCAGAAGTGTAATCCAGAGTTTTGGAGGGCATGCTGGGATGTGTGCCTCTGGCAGATTTCTAACACTGGCTGATCACTTCTTGTTTCATTGGTGAAAAAACACCTTGTAACAGGGCAGTCTGCCCTTTAAGGGGAGCAACCAGCCCTGTTCTGGGGAGCAGCGTGGCAGGCAGGTGTTGGGAATTAACTGACCCAGCTGGGTAGCAGCAGTTGATTGGGTCTGATGTTTTCCACTAGGGGATATAAATGAGGACCTGCGGCAGTCCAGGACCAGGAGAGGGCTGGGAGAATGCTCTCCTGTAACTATGGCAGAGGACTGCAGGAGGCCCTTTGGACCTCCTAGGCAGGGTGGAAATCCTGACACTAAACTGCTAGTCCCCGTCCAGTTCCCTTCGTTTGACCCTTTGACTGCACTCCTGTCCATGTTGTTCATTAGTTGTCCCCTGTAATTATTTGGTTTTCCAGGTCCTGTGGACCCCCCTCTTGGGCTTGGGGGGGGGGAATCCTTTAGCTTTGCCCGCCCACTTCCTGGATCCCAATAAGAATAAACTGCCAGAGGCTGGGGGGACACCACAGTGTGTGTTGTGAGCAGTACTATGTATATTACCATATCATGTTTCCCAGGCTGGTGATCGAGTCCACCAACCTTATGCCCCTTTTAAAATGTTCTGTTGGTGAAATTAAAGAAAACAAAGAGCTACTTACAACATGTACTTGGTTTACTTATAGGGTAAACCTACTGAGGCCTCATCAGAAGCCAGAATCCATGAGTATGGAGAATTAGATGCCAAAGATTATATTCCAGGAGCAGAAATATTAGAGGTTGAGAATAAGGAAGAAGGAGGGAAACACGAGGAAGGTTGGTTAGTTTTTCTTCACTTCCAGGCCGTACAGCATTGCCACTAGAGTTCTAGTTACATGTGAAAGTGTGGTGCAAGTCTCTTGTTGTAAAGCAGAAAGTTTGACACTGTAATGTCTTGAGTAACCCTGGCCATGTGTCCAGTGAAACAGCACTAGTGCTGCCCTTGAATGAATGAATGCAATACACACCCAGTTATATTTGACATTGGGTCTGTGCTGCTTTATGCAGTATTTGCTTTAGCAAGAGATAACAAAAGGGTTTTGTTGCCTGTGTGACTAATCTTCAAGAAAAAGCAGGTCATACGGCTTCAAAAGTGCACCTGTTCAGCTCTCCCCAAGATAAAGAACTGCTTGCTTACTATGTCCTTGAGTCACTTTGAAGACTTAAGAAGAGCAGTGCTCAGGCTGTTGAAAATGTAACATGACTTTTTCATACAATGTGTGCTGCTTCCATATCTGTGTGAACTGGTTGGATGTTGGGGATGCGGCAGAATATCACTGCCTGCTTGTATGGTGCCCTGCGCAATAGACATCATGGGGCACTCGTGTAGCACTGTTTATCTTCAGAGCTCTTTACAATAACTGCAACGTAGGCTGGCAGTAAATTAGGTTTACACGACAGCTTGTCTCCATTGCCAGTGATTAGACATCGGGCACACCAGTGTTTTGCAAGCTGCCTTTGGTGTTTTCTTACAACTTTGGGGATAACTTGTTTATTTCTATGGTTGGTCCCACTTACAACAACTGATGATGACATCACAACCTCCATGAAGGATCTGATTCTAGTTACTGTATAAACTTGTAATAAAGTGACAGTTTCTGCCTTAAATAGCTTGTGTACTATGTTAATTACAAGATGCAACAGGTGCCTGAAGTAAACTGGTTAGGGGCATGTCTTGTCTTTGACAGCTTCCACAAGCCATTTCCACCAAACTACCGGTTTTTATATAAATACACACATCTTAATGTTGCTGAGAGACACAACTTTGTGGTCCATGGACTATTTTTGTACAGCATGTAGCACAGGGATCAGCAACCTTTGGCACGCAGCCCATCAGGGAAATCCGCTGGCGGGCCAGGACGGTTTGTTTACTTGTAGCGTCCGGAGGTTTGGCCGACCGCAGCTTCCACTGGCCGTGGTTTGCTGTTTCGGGCCAATGGGGGCTGTGGGAAGCGGCAGCTAGCACATCCCTCGGCCCGCACCGCTTCCTGCAGCCCCCATTAGCCCGGAACGGCGAACCCCGGCCAGTGGGAGCTGTGATCAGTTGAACCTGCGGACGCTGCAGGTAAACAAACCGGCCCGCCAGTGGATTTCCCTGATGGGCCGCATGCCAAAGGTTGCCAATCCGTGATCTAGCACATTGTGGATGATACCTGAAATGTATACTTTTTAAATAGCAGTCAACCTCTACCGTAACTTGACAACCCTTTAATGCTTGCTTGTTATTTCTAGTGGTATCTGGACTAGGTGATTGAGAACTGCAAAGGGAGGGCTTTTAAAAATAGTAGTGCATTTAGCAGGTAGAGATAACATGGAAGGAAACAAATCTGGGATCCAGTCTTAATTGCTATATTTGTTGTCACGCAATTGAACTAAGTCTGTTCTAGTCACTGTGTGTGCCTCTTGCCCTGGCAGATGGATGGCAAAGTGCCAGTCTCGGTGAGGAGGAAGACGATGAAGATGGGGAATGGATAGATGTGCACCACTCCTCAGATGAGGAGCAGCAAGAAGTAGTGAGTTTTGTCATCACTTTCTGGCCTAAATATAAATGTGATTTTCAAAGATTGGGCTTGATTCTCCGTTGGCTTGCACCTTTAATGTAGTTTTCAGCTGTGCCAAGTGAGTGTATAAACAGTAGCTAATGAGAAAGGGGTGTGTCACACCACCATTGCACAGGTATAAGTGAATATCCACAAGTCAAAGCAGGGGAGAATCAGTCCTGTGTGTAAATATTTTACAGCCTATGGCAATGGTTTTCAACTGTGGACCACCACTTGTTCAGGGAAAGCCCCTGGCATGCCAGGCCAGTTTGTTTACCTGCCGTGTCCGCAGGTTTGGCCAATTGCAGCTCTCACTGGCTGCGGTTCGCCGCTCCAGGCCAATGGGGTCTGTGGGAAGCAGTGCGGGCTGAGGGATGTGCTGGCCACCCTTCCTGCAGCCCCCATTGGCCTGGAGCGGCGAACTGTGGCCAGTGGGAGCCGTGATCAGCTGACCCTGCGGACACGGCCGGTAAACAAACCGGCCCGGCCCGCCAGGGGCTTTCCCTGAACAAGCAGTGAACCACAGTTGAGAACCACTGGCCTATGGGGAATAGGGCAAATTCTCTCCATCTTCAGCAAAGAGGAGGAGTATTTTGGCACATTTCTAATGCTCCTTACTCCTTCTCTCTCCCTTACACATGAACAAGCACACTCAACCAATTTCCTGGAAAGCCTGGGAACTCCTTGATCACAGGCTGCGTGGTGCCCCAATGTGGGCTCTGTTGGTAATGTTACACCCACTGTTGAACTTTGCTGTAGACCTGAAGAAGGCCAGTGCTACTCCCTCCCCTACGCCTCTCACCTCCCACATATTCTTGTCTTCTGCCCTAACCAACCATATGCCCTTATTGTAAAGGCAAGTCCTGTTTCTCTCCAGCGACCTGCTTAGGTGGAGAGAAACAGGACTTGCCTTTACAATAAGATTATAGTGTACAAATAAACCATACAACACCATTGCTTTAAAGACCCTGATGATCGTCACTGTTGTCCGCATTTAAAGGGGGAGAAGATCAAAAGCATGCCTGTAGAAGAACAGAAAGCCAAAGCAGCAGCAGTTAGCACGAGCCGGGTTTTAACTCAAGAAGACTTCCAGAAAATACACCTGGCCCAGATAGCCAAAGAGCTCAACTCGGCACCTGGCAAAGCTGCAAAGAGGAAGAACATTGCAATAGACAGCGACGAGGAGAGCAGGTAGAATACAAAATTCCTTTTCACTCAGGTGGTATAATGGATATTATTTCTACTGCAGGAGCCCTTAGGAGCCTGAACCATGGGCCAGGACCTCATTGTGTTACGTGCTATATAAATGTATAATAAAAAGATGTGTCCTCATGCTACACAGCTTCCAATCTAAGTATGAGACAAGGCAGTGAGTGAATATAGGGGGGTCAGCACAAGGGAACAATGAGACGATACTTGTCAGCTTGATAGGCTGTGGTCTCAGCACACAGGCTGACTGACCGCTGCTGAGATTTTTGTAGGTATGGTAGTTAAAAAGGGATTTGAAGGTGGACACTGAGGCAGCTGTGCAGATGTTTTTGGGTAGCTCCTCCCATGCATAAGGGCAGCATCGGGACAAAGCATACAGGTGCTTGTGTGAAAGTGGGCAGTGAGCTCAGAAGCCATATCTCGAGAATGAATGAGAGATGCTAGAGAGGGTGAGGATAGATCCGTGCGTGGTAAAAGCTCTCGTGATGCCAGACAACATCATAATCTCTTTTTGTTTTGCAGGGGAGAGTTGCTTTCGCTCAGAGATATTGAGCATCTACATAAGAAGCCTAAATCAGACAAGGAAACAAGACTGGCCACAGCCATGGTGAGGAGCCATGATATTCCAGATCTTCTTCCTTGCAGATTTTCAGGGGTTTCAGGCTTTGCAACCTGCAGAGTTACAAGAACACAGTAGGGGCAGGTTTCAAAGGGCTCAGGCATGAATGACAGCTAGGTAACTGGTTGCCTCCCCCTCCTGGGTTCTTTGCCGACCTGGCACAGACCAATGGATAACTTTAGTCTGGTTCCCTGTCTCTGATTGTGGCTGATGCTGGGAATTTTAAAACCTTTTTTTTTTTTAATAGAGGCTCTTATTCAAAAGATACAGTTAAACAGCCAATCACAAAGCACATAAAATCGCTCAGGAAAGCAAAGTGAGTCTGGATTTGCAGCTCCAGGAGTGGAAAGTGTGCAGGGGTAAATGGCATTTCTGTGGAGACCAGTTAGATGATCTGACTTGTGAGAAGAAAAGATAACCCTGTGGGCTTTAATTGTTTGGATATTTTTTCCTCCCTAGGCTGGAAAGACAGACAGAAAAGAATTTGTGAAAAGAAAAACTAAAATGAATCCGTTCGCTAGCTCCACTAACAAAGAGAAGAAAAAGCAGAAGAACTTTATGATGATGAGATACAGTCACAATGTCCGAACAAAAAATAAACGTTCCTTCAGGGAAAAACAGGTCAGTATTTAATACTCAGCCCATTGGTGACAAAGTAAATTGGAGACTAGTCAGGGGCAGTGTATGCAACAAATTTTAGTTATTTGTATTTCAGCTAAAATAAGCGCCCCTCACGTGCTCTAGGAGGTTTTATGTACTTAAAGATTTCCTGTGACAAAGCTTAGTTCAAATGAACATATAATAGGCTGCTTCTCTTAAACTAATGATCACTTGCCAACCAATCCAATAAAAAAGCCCCTTGTGCAGTCTATACATCCCTTAGCCTATGTCCTACCCAAATGCCTGAGCTTTGTAGCAGTCACAGATCTGGGCTCTTGCAGACCAATGGCTGCCAGTGCTGGGGGGGCTTTCTTATAACTGGCTTGGACTTGTCTGCGTAGAAAACACCAAATCGTGGTGAAGTTATATTAGGGCTGTAGCATAATATGGGAATGTAATTATAACACAGCGTGGGCCCCTTGGCCATTGGCAAGATCAAACTTTGATTATACTACAATCAGGGACACCAGTGTGACAGAACATGCTGCCTTTGCGTGGTAGAATTGGCTTTGCAGACAGGCCTTTTAGTCTATCCTTTTCTTTTCCTTTGGGCGCCTCTTCAAACCCTCATTTCACAGTCACCATCTTCCTGATTACCTTATTCACCAGAGACAGGTCTGTCCTTCCTCTCATTCTGGCTGGGCATGCTGTATCTATGATCAAAGGTGCCTCCTGAAATCCTCTCATCTGCTCTGGAAAATCAAGGCCAAAATGTTGCTGACTATTATAATGCCGCTATACTTGCTCAGACTGTTTTGAAGTGTTCAAAGAGCCATTTCCAGGAAAATCCTGCCTTGTGGCTTTCTCACCAAGCTGTCTCTTTGGTAGAGCATATGTACTGACTTCATTATAAACACACCTTTGTCGGTAAGATTTGGGTCCCAGTGAGTAGCTCTAGGGTCTGTTTCTGGCTTTTTATTCCCTGCTAAGGGCAGCCAAACAGTGTTGAGAATGGTCTGCCAGTGGCTTTTCTTTACAAACCAGATGAGGAAAGTAGATCCTGGGTATTCTTATATGATGTTTTATTAAATAACATGACCCTGGAGCAGTACCTCTAAATCTGCTCTTTACTTGGTATCTTCTCCATTTCCCACAAAAGTGGGATCTAGGCTGACCCCATTGACTGCAGCAATGTGCTGATTCCACCCTCTCTTATAAAACACAAGAGGTTCACTTTGTGAATGAGTGGCTTAGGTACTTTAATGAGCTCGCTAATCCTCTGCACTTGCATTGAGGTGTTGACGTCTCTGATTTGGTAGGCAGCCAGACTACCTCACTACATCAGATCTCTGCGAGAAGCAAAACAAGCAGTGTGTTAGTGATTTGAGCCAAAAGGCTTGAAGGCCCCTGTTGGGAAGGGAACGGCTTAAAAGAACTAAAATTTGATTTTATAGTTCCAGAGCTAAAATCCCCATTTTAAATTAGGGCTGTCAAACCTTTAAAATAAATTTGCAATTAATCGCAGTTGTAATCGCACTGTTAAACAATAATAGAATACCACTTTAAATTTATTATAAATATTTTTGGATGTTTTTCTACATTTTCAAATATATTTTCAATTACAGTGGAGGATAAAACGTGTACAGCGTTCACTTTATATTTTTTATTACAAATATTTGCACTGTAAAAAAAGATGAGTATTTTCCATTCACCTCATACAAGTACTGTAGTGCAATCTCTTTATTGTGAAAGTACAATTTACAAATGTAGGATTTTTTTTTTTTTTACTATAACTGCATTCAAAAACGAAACAACGTAAAACATTTGAGAGACTACAAGTTAAAGCATGAAGGGGCTTACGAATGTTAAGCATATCTGGCATGTAAATACTTTGCAGCGCTATCTACAGCAATGCAACGTGAACGCCTGTTCTCACTTTCAGGTGACGTATGTAAATAAGCGGGCAGAATTATCTCCTGTAAATATAAACAACTTGTTTGTCTAAGTGATTGGATGAACAAGAAGTAGGACTGAGTGGACTTTAGGCTCTAAAGTTTGACATTGTTTATTTTTGTGTGTGTTTACATAACTGCACTCAGAAACAAAATCTAAGTTTGTAAGTTGCATTTTTGTTAGAGATGGAAAGAATGAGCAGGAGGACCCAGAGGCGGATTGAGTGAATGGACTTCTTTATTACGGTACTTGTTCCCCTTGACCCAATTGTTGAGTAAGCCCTGAGTTAATCACATCACGCTCTTTTATCTAAGTTAATATGTAAATACTCACATTTACTACAATGCCCCCAAACCCCTTATTTGATAATATGAATGCCCATATAATGAATATTAATAGCTATATGCTGAATATCATATATCCGCCCCTGTTTACTGTTTATAGCATTAAGCATATTCTACAGACATTTTTACCTTGAAGATACTGCAAAGAAATGTAATTGTAGCCACAGGTTCCCTTAATCGCAGTTTGCAGGGAAGGGAGGAAGGGGCCATGTCTCGAGCTCATTTATGTAGCTGGGAAAGGAAGGGGGGGGAGATAGCACTTCAATAACACTTCTTCACACACAGGGTATCCTTCAGACAACCACATTCCTTATGCAGCTGCAGCGCTTATCTATTCTTAACAAGCAGAAGGGAAGGGAGAGGATGGTAACTTTATCGATTAAGCGAAGAAATAGTGCGTGCCTATGCCTACTCTCTATTACCATGATAGCACACCAGTGGTTTCCCAGGTCTTTACTTAACCCTTACAAGTCCCAACAATTTTCACGATAAAGAGATCGCACTATAGTACTTGTATGAGGTGAATGAAAAATACTATTTCTTTTTTTACAGTGCAGATATTTGCAATAAAAATATCAAGTGAGAACTGTACACATATTCTGGGTTATAATTGAAATCAATATATTTTAAAACGAAAACATCTGAAATATTATAATTTTAAATTGGTGTTTCTGTTATTGTTTAACAATGAGATTAAAACTGCAATTAATCGTGACTATTTTTTTAATCTAGTTGATTGGTTTTGTGTTTAATTTACAGCCCTGTTTTAAATGTGTCTACATTTCTGGCAGAACCTCTCTGGAGTGACTCTGTACTTGTAAATGTCAGTCTTTTTTCTTTTTCTTTTTTTCTTTTTTTTTTTAAGAAGCTTCATTTGCCCTTTAAAGAAATTACTTTAAACCTACTTAAAGGGACAAGAGTGATATTGTACTGATCTTTTCCAGTTTAACACCATTGACACAGTGCAATAACATTTATATTACATTAATTACATTAGTGATTTTTTTATTGTACAGTGTCTAAGAAGTGTCACTACTGCTATGTTTACTGCTTGAATCTAGGACTTCACTGACTCTTTCTTGGTTGTATTATCAATTCTATCTAGGTGCGAGTATGATCCCTATCACGACAGTGCCTGCCATGGTTTTTGGTGTAGGGGTTTATGAGCGGTCTTTGCCTCTCATTTTTACAATATATATCGAGATTTTTTTCCTAAAGTACTAAATAATCTGCTTGGTTTCTTGGCATTTTTAATATTTTCTAGACTAAGTTATTAAGTCTAGCCTGATTAGTGTGTCACTAGAAAAGTTATAATAGCTTTTCCTTAAAAGGGTAATTTTAGTTAGTATATTAAACTTTCCTAAGTGCTTAAAATAAGAATTAAATTGTTTCCAAATTACTGTTTTTATAAAAGCTTTTGGCAGTGAATATCCAATTTTATCTCAATGTACCTCTTCCTAATTGTTTGTGCCAAGTTCTGTTTCAAAGTAGCAAAGTGTGTGACATTAAATACATAGCTGTTAATACCTCTGTGCATAGAGTACCTAGGGCACTAGCCCAGGCAGGCTGGCTTGATTCCAGTCGGGTGACTCATAGACTTTAAGGCCAGAAGGGACCATCAAGATCTCTTGACCTCCTGCACATTGCAGGCCACAGAACTTTACTTACCCCGTCCTGTCATCAATCCATAACCTCTGTCTGAGTTACTGAAGTCCTCAAATAATGATTTAAGACTTTGTTACAGAGAATCCACCATTTACACTAATGTAAACCTGCAAGTGACCCGTGCCTCATGCTGCAGAGGAAGGCAAAATACCTCCAGGGTCTCTGCCAATCTGACCCAGGGGAAAATTCCCCATCCTTGGTGCTTAGCGGTCCAACTTCTTCTTTCCTTGTTTTCTTTTTATTTATACGGCTATAGAACATTTTACTGTTGGTTTTAATTTCCTTTGCAAGGTCCAACTCTGCTTGGCTTTTGGCAATTCTCACTTTTCCCCTGCACTTTCTGACTTCCAAGAGGTAGTTTTCCTTGTTGATCCATCCCTTCCTCCATTCCTCATAGGCTTTGTACTGTCTCTTAATAACCTGTTTGAGATGCTTGCTCATCCAGCTTGGTCTGCAACCCTTCCCTATGGACTTTTTCTCCTTGCTTGGGACGCAGGCTTCAGATACTTTCTGCAATTTTGACTTAAAGTAATTCCAAGCCTCCTCCACATTCAGATCCTTGAGTGCTTCAGTCCAGTCCACTTCCCTAACTACTTCCCTTAATTTTTTTAAAGTTTACCCTTTTGAAATCCTAGTTGCAGATCCATTTTTGTTTATCCTTCCATTTAGTTTAAACTGAATTAGCTCATGATCACGTGAACCAAGGGTCACCTACAACCAGCTCTTCTATGAGATCCACACTACTCACCAATACCAAATCTAAAATGGCATCACATCTTGCTGGTTTGGCTACAGTTAGGTGAAGAAATCTGTCAGCTATTGCATCCAGGAAAATCTAGTCCCTGCTATAATTAGTAGCACTTGTCCTCCAATCTATAACTGAATTAAGGCCACAGTTTTAACTATGGTGTGTTTTTTGAATTCCTGTGTGGCGATCTTGCCTGCTAATGTCTCCCATCCTATAGGTGGCTACATGCCAGCAATGAACAGGATTTTATATATATACGGTTTTCACATCACATGGGGATTGCTGCATGATGGGTGCTATATTGGTATTTCAGTTAAATACTTAAAAAGAACTGGAGTACTTATGACACCTTGGAGACTAACAAATTTATTTGAGCATAAGCTTTTGTGGGCTACAGCCCACTTCATCAGATGCATCTGATAAAGTGGGCTGAAGTGGGCTGTGGCCCACAAAAGCTTATGCTCAAATAAATTTATTAGTCTCTACGGTGCCACAAGTACTCCTTTTCTTTTTGCGGATACAGACTAACATGGCTGCTACTCTGCAACCAGTTAAATACTTGAAAACTTGTAGTCAGAATACCTCAATATTGCACTGTTATGCAACACGATTTATTTTATTTATTTGTTTTTTGTATTCTAGTTGGCATTACGAGATGCACTTTTGAAAAAGAGAAAAAGGCTGGTGAAATAATTTAAAACAACAAAGGAGCGGACTGTTTTATATCCTTACTGTGGGTATAGTAATAACCCTAGAAAATTTTTATATTGGAAAGTACAAGATCACCTGTACTGAAGAATTGGATGTCCATTGAATATAACTCTGCAGCACCAAATGAGTTTCATTTGTACATGTTGGCGTCAAGAGATCCTGCATTCTAGAAGCATCTTCAGAAGGGAGGCTGTTACCTTGTATTGAATATAACTTATTTTGAGTTAACTGGTTATGTCCCTGTAAATATTAACTAAAGCAAGGAGAATTTCATTGTTAAATGTTTTGCCTGAATCATGGAAAATGTAAATCCTAGATCAATCCATGGAAAATAACTTTTACATAGATTAAAAACTTTGTGCCTTTCATAAGCATGTAATTTTTTAAAGGACTTTGAAAACGGTTAACTTTAATTTCCCGCTTTTAGAAATAGAAGGTGGGTGAGGACTGAGGTAATCGCTTTTATTAGACCAACTTCTGTTGGTCTGAGAGAAGCTTTCATGCTACACAGAGCTCTTTTTCAGGTCTGAGAAAGGTAACCAAAGTGTCACAGCTAAATACAAGATAGAGCAGATAGTTTAGCATAAGTAGTTAGCGCATATTCTAAGGCAGGCATTCTCAACTTTTTTCTTTCTGAACACCCCCCCCCCCCCAACATGATGTAAAAACTCCACAGCCCACCTGTGTCACAACAACTTTTTCTTTGCGTATAAAAGCCAGGACCAGTATTCGGGAGTAGAAAGCAGGGCAATTGCCCCGGGCAATATGCCCCGGGGGCCACCGCAAAAATAAGTTGCTCAGGCTTCAGCTCCAGGAGGTGGAGCTCAGGGGCCCAGGCTGCAGTCTGGCGCAGCAGGGCTTTGGCTTTCTGCCCCTGGCCCTAGCAAGCTTAATGCTGGCCATGTTCGGAGAACCCCCTGAAACCTGCTTGCAGCCCCTGGCTGAGAACCACTGTTTCTTAGGGACCTTTGAAGATGAAGTGGCCTGTTAACATGCCTGTAGTCATAGGACAAAAATGGGGGTTAGTGGGTTACGGAGTGTTGTAATAAGCTATAAATCCAGTGTCTTTATTAAGGCTATGTTTTTTAGTGGCTAGCAAAGTTATGAATTTAAACTCCCAGGCTTGTCTTTTGAAAGTGTTGTGCAGGTTTCCTTTGAGGATGAGGACTGTGTTCACCCACAGGTGATATGATAGTTTTGTCTTCTATCATTTTCTTGTGAGTTCATTCAAGGGTGTAGTTATTGTCTGGTTTCCTCCCCATAGCTGTTGGGACATTTAGTGCACTGGCTGAGGTACACCACATGTTGTGATAGGCACCACATGTTGTGACATGTGTAGGACCCATGGCTCTTCAAAGGTGTGTTGTGGTGGACATTGATTGTTGTAGCCGTGGACATTTGTCTGCAGGTGTTGCATCTGTTGTTGTGGCAGAGTCTGGTGCTGCTTTAAGTTGGTGACTTGTCCAAGTATAGCACCCCCTTCTCCCTGCCCCTTTTTTTGTCCTATGACCACAGAGGTGTTAACAGGCCCCTTAATCTTGAATGGTCCTTTTAGAATATGTGTTAACAGCTTATGCTAAAGTACAGGTTCAGTCTTGTTTTTAGCTGTGACACTTACCTTTCCCAGACCTGAAGAACTCCCAATAAACGCAAAAAGAAAAGGAGTACTTGTGGCACCTTAGAGACTAACCCATTTATTTGAGCATAAGCTTTCGTGAGCTACAGCTCACTTCATCGAATGCATACTGTGGAAAGTGTAGAAGATCTTTTTATATACACACAAAGCATGAAAAAATACCTCCTCCCACCCCACTCTCCTGCTGGTAATAGCTTATCTAAAGTGATCACTCTCCTTACAATGACAGGTTTCAGAGGAACAGCCATGTTAGTCTGTATTCGCAAAAAGAAAAGGAGTACTTGTGGCACCTTAGAGACTAACCAATTTATTTGAGCATGAGCTTTCGTGAGCTACAGCTCACTTCATCAGATGTTTACCGTGGAAACTGCAGCAGACTTTATATACACACAGAGAATATGAAACAATACCTCCTCCCACCCCACTGTCCTGCTGGTAATAGCTTATCTGAAGTGATCAACAGGTGGGCCATTTCCAGCACAAATCCAGGTTTTCTCACCCTCCACCCCCCCACACAAATTCACTCTGCTGCTGGTGCTAGCCCATCCAAAGTGACAACTCTTTACATAATCAAGTCAGTTTAGATGAGCTATTACCAGCAGGAGAGTGAGTTTGTGTGTGTATGGGGGTGGGGGGGATGTGAGAAAACCTGGATCTATGCAGGAAATAGCCCGACTTGATTATGTAAAGAGTTGTCACTTTGGATGGGCTAGCACCAGCAGGAGAGTGAATTTGTGTGGGGGGGTGGAGGGTGAGAAAACCTGGATTTGTGCTGGAAATGGCCCACCTGTTGATCACTTTAGATAAGCTATTACCAGCAGGACAGTGGGGTGGGAGGAGGTATTGTTTCATATTCTCTGTGTGTATATAAAGTCTGCTGCAGTTTCCACGGTAAACATCTGATGAAGTGAGCTGTAGCTCACGAAAGCTCATGCTCAAATAAATTGGTTAGTCTCTAAGGTGCCACAAGTACTCCTTTTCTCCTTACAATGTGTATGATGATCAAGGTGGGCCATTTCCAGCACAAATCCAGGGTTTAACAAGAACGTCTGAGGCGGGGGGGAGCGGGTAGGAAAAAACAAGGGGAAATAGGTTACCTAGCATAATGACTTAGCCATTCCCAGTCTCTATTCAAGCCTAAGTTAATTGTATCCAATTTGCAAATGAATTCTAATTCAACAGTTTCTTGCTGGAGTCTGGATTTGAAGTTTTTTTGTTATATCGCAACTTTCATGTCTGTAATCACGTGACCAGAGAGATTGAAGTGTTCTTCGACTGGTTTATGAATGTTACAATTCTTGACGTCTGATTTGTGTCCATTTATTCTTTTACGTAGAGACTGTCCAGTTTGACCAATGTACATGGCAGAGGGGCATTGGTGGATGTGCAGGTGAACGAGCCTCTGATAGTGTGGCTGACGTTATTAGGCCCTGTGATGGTGTCCCTTGAATAGATGTGGGCACAGTTGCAAGGACAGGTTCCTGGGTTAGTGGTTCTGTTGTGTGGTATGTGGTTGCTGGTGAGTATTTGCTTCAGGTTGGGGGGCTGTCTGTAGGCAAGGACTGGCCTGTCTCCCAAGATTTGTGAGAGTGTTGGGTCATCCTTCAGGATAGGTTGTAGATCCTTAATGCGTTGGAGGGGTTTTAGTTGGGGGCTGAAGGTGACGGCTAGTGGCGTTCTGTTATTTTCTTTGTTAGGCCTGTTCTGTAGTAGGTGACTTCTGGGAACTCTTCTGGCTCTATCAATCTGTTTCTTCACTTCCGCAGGTGGGTATTGTAGTTGTAAGAATGCTCGATAGAGATCTTGTAGGTGTTTGTCTCTGTCTTAAGGGTTGGAGCAAATTCGGTTGTATCGCAGAGCTTGGCTGTAGACAATGGATCGTGTGGTGTGGTCAGGGTGAAAGCTGGAGGCATGTAGGTAGGAATAGCAGTCAGTAGGTTTCCGGGATAGGGTGGTGTTTATGTGACCATTGTTTATTAGCACTGTAGTGTCCAGGAAGTGGATCTCATGTGTGGACTGGACCAGGCCGAGGTTGATGGTGGGATGGAAATTGTTGAAATCATGGTGGAATTCCTCAAGGGCTTCTTTTCCATGGGTCCAGATGATGAAGATGTCATCAATATAGCGCAAGTAGAGTAGGGGCGTTAGGGGACGAGAGCTGAGGAAGCGTTGTTCTAAATCAGCCATAAAAATGTTGGCATACTGTGGGGCCATGCGGGTACCCATAGCAGTGCCGCTGATCTGAAGGTATACATTGTCCCCAAATGTAAAATACTTATGGGTAAGGACAAAGTCACAAAGTTCAGCCACCAGGTTAGCCGTGACATTATCGGGGATAGTGTTCTTGACGGCGTGTAGTCCATCTTTGTGTGGAATGTTGGTGTAGAGGGCTTCTACATCCATAGTGGCCAGGATGGTGTTATCAGGAAGATCACCGATGGATTGTAGTTTTCTCAGGAAGTCCGTGTTGTCTCGAAGGTAGCTGGGAGTGCTGGTAGCGTAGGGCCTGAGGAGGGAGTCTACATAGCCAGACAATCCTGCTGTCAAGGTGCCAATGCCTGACATGATGGGGCGCCCAGGATTTCCAGGTTTATGGATCTTGGGTAGTAGATAGAATATCCCAGGTCAGGGTTCCAGGGGTGTGTCTGTGCGGATTTGATCTTGTGCTTTTTCAGGGAGTTTCTTGAGCAAATGCTGTAGTTGCTTTTGGTAACTCTCAGTGGGATCAGAGGGTAATGGCTTGTAGAAAGTGGTGTTGGAGAGCTGCCGAGCAGCCTCTTGTTCATATTCCGACCTATTTATGACGATAACAGCACCTCCTTTGTCAGCCTTTATGATTATGATGTCGGAGTTGTTTCTGAGGCTGTGGATGGCATTGTGTTCCGCACTGCTGAGGTTATGGGGCAAGTGATGCTTCTTTTCCACAATTTCAGCCCATGCACGTCGGCGGAAGCACTCTATGTAGAAGTCCAGTCTGCTGTTTTGACCTTCAGGAGTCGTCCACCTAGAATCCTTCTTTTTGTAGTGTTGGTAGGGAGGTCTCTGTAGGTTAGTATGTTGTTCAGAGGTATGTTGGAAATATTCCTTGAGTCGGAGACGTCGAAAATAGGATTCTAGGTCACATAAACCAATCGGAGAACACTACAATCTCTGGTCACACGATTACAGACATGAAAGTTGCTATATTACAACAAAAAAACTTCAAATCCAGACTCCAGCGAGAAACTGTTGAATTAGAATTCATTTGCAGATTGGATACAATTAACTTAGGCTTGAATAGAGACTGGGAATGGCTAAGTCATTATGCAAGGTAACCTATTTCCCCTTGTTTTTTCCTACCCCCCCTCCCCCCACGTTCTTGTTTAAACCCTGGATTTGTGCTGGAAATGGCCCACCTTGATTATCATACACATTGTAAGGAGAGTGATCACTTTAGATAAGCTATTACCAGCAGGAGAGTGGGGTGGGAGGAGGTTTTTTTTTTTTTTCATGCTTTGTGTGTATATAAAAAGATCTTCTACACTTTCCACAGTATGCATCCGATGAAGTGAGCTGTAGCTCACGAAAGCTTATGCTCAAATAAATGGGTTAGTCTCTAAGGTGCCACAAGTACTCCTTTTCTTTTTGCGACTACAGACTAACACGGCTGTTACTTTGAAACCTCCCAATAAACGGGAAAGCTTGTCTCTCTCACCCACAGAAGTTGCTCCAATAGAAGATGATCTATCACCTACCTTGTTTCTCCAATGTCCTGGGACCAATATAGGAACATCAACAGTACATACTTTCCCCTTTTTTGTTTAAAATAAAACAAACTTCACAGCTTGTTCAATCAAATGATTGTGGATGTGCACAGTTCGGGTATTCTATTGTCCAAAACTGGCACAGTTAGTGGAAGAATGGGATCTGCATGACTGTTCTAAAACAATGCCCCTCTCCTGAACCTGACACCATATGGGGCAGAGATTTGGCCATACTGAGTCAATTGCAGAATGATGCCTAAATCTGCTGGAAGATGAAATAAAGTGCATGTCTATACCACCCCCTCCCCCCCGCTGATAGCACCGAACCAATTACTTTTCTGTAGCGTTTTGCTATGCAGTTTTTTTATTAAAAAATAATAATTTGCATCCTGTTTGTCACATTTCCCCCTCTCATCTCTGTCCTTTTTGTTGTCTGTCCCTCTCCCCACCTTGCTTTTCTTTTGACAAGTTCCCTTTTAAAAACACTTCACACTACGTTGCAAAGCCCGAAGTTAGAAGCTGGATTGATTTTTTTTTTTAATTCGTTTTCCCTCCCCTTTAAAGGTTTCTACGCTAGAAAATGTAAACAATAGCTAATGCTTTGTTTATCTGATACCCACACCACCTTTAAGAGTTGGCCGGAAGCCTGAGTCCATACCTGTAGGAAGGGGAACTGCTGCCTTGGGTCCATTTGTGTATGCATACAGAGGTACTGGAAGTAGGGGTGCTGCTACGCTGCCTGGCTTGAAGTGGTTTCCCTTTTATAGACAAGCTTTACAGTTTGGTGCAATGGCTGTCAGCACCCCCACAATTTAAAAAAAAAAAAGAAAGAAACGGTTTCAGCCCCCACCCCACCCCCCCATATGCAGCTAGAGCCTTGTATAAATAGGGACCAGAAGCCCTAGGAACGCAGCGTTCGTGGTTTAAGGCTGGCGCTGGCTGAACGGGGATGGAAGGAGGCCAGGCCTGGCTGGGTCGGTGGGGCTGGAGCCAAGCGAAGGGAATGTTTTAAAAGCTTTGCCCCAAGGCCCAGCCTGCTGCTCGGGCCCTGACTGAAACCTAGCGGCTTCACAGCCCGCTTAGCACCCTTTGGGGTGAGAAATCCGTTTCCCTATCTAGCGCCAGGGATTTACATCCTCCCCCGCCCGGGGGCAGAGCTTCCCTGCCGGAGCGGAGGGCGGCGGCTGCGCGGCCCCGGCTCCGCCCTGCCCCGGGGGCCGCTCGCCGCTCGGAGCAGGGCCGAGGGCGCCGGGGCCATGGGCGCGGGCTGGGGCTGCGCGCTGGGGCTGGGGCTGCTGCTGCTCTGGGGGGCGGCGGCCGCTCCCCCGCTGTGCAACGTGAGCCTGGAGCAGGCCCCGCAGCAGCGCTGGCTGCCCGCCCTGCGGCACTTCGACCCGGCCTTCCTGCGGGCGGCCGTGGCCCGGGTCATCGAGTGAGTGTGTGTGTGAGCGAGCGCGGCGGGGCGGGCTGGGGCAGCCGCGCCTCTGGGGGCGCCGCCCGGCCCCGCTGTCTGGGCCCCCCACGGTCCCACACACCCAGCCCGGGGCGTGGCTCGGGGGGGGGGGGTGTCTCTCCCCTCGTTTTTCCGAGGGCGCCCATCACCGTGGCGCCCGGCTGGTGGGCCCTGCCTCAGCAACGCTCTGCACAGCCCCACTCGGGGGGGCATGGAGCCAGCAGAGCACCCTGAGGGCGCAGGGAGACCCCCCCCCCCCAGCCCGAGTGCGGGCAACCAGCGTCGTCCCGCCGCCCTTTGCTCTCCGCTCGCCTTCCCCACCCGCTTCTTTTGCCTGGTGTCTTGTCCAGGGGCTCTCAAACTGGGGGTCGGGACCCCTCAGGGGGTCGCCAGGTTATTACCTGGGGAGGGGGGGCGGTCGCCAGCTGTCAGCTGTCAGCTGCCACCCCCAAACCCCGCTTTGCCTCCAGCATTTATAATGGTGTGAAATATATAAACAAGTGTTTTTAATTTATGGGGGGGGGGGTCGCACTCAGAGGCTTGCTATGCGAAAGGGGTCACCAGTACAAAAGTCTGAGAACCCCTGGTCTTGTCCGTAGCAGATCTCCCCATGCCGGGACGGCCCCTGCTGGATGGTACCGGAGCTGCTGCTTTGCTTGGAACCTGCCCTGGGGCTCTGCTGGCTGAACAGCTGCCTTGCTAGCAGGCCTAGGGGCCGTGCAGAGGGGCCCTGGAAGGCCATGTTGCGAGTGGGTGATGATGGGCTGGGCCCATACTTTGCACACCTGGGAGGAAGGGGAGGTGGCTGGGTGAGGGTGCTCTGAGTGATGGTGGATTTTGCCAGCTTCAAGCCCCAATACTCAGGCTTTATGTAAGTAGAGTGAATGTCACCCTAATAAATAGCAATTTTAAAACCCCCAATACCACAGTGATGGCTGATTAGAAATGTATAAAATTTGGAGTTTGAGGGGACCTAATGGGAGAGGAAAAAGCATTGCACCCTGTAAAGCCTTAAGCACATGCTTCCCTTCCCTTCCCTTCCATGAATCCTGCTGAACGCCGCGGGATTACTTATGTGGATCAATGGCTGTGGGATCGAGGGATAAGATCGTGAGCCCTACAGGCAGTCTAGCACAAGTGTGGCTGCTAATTAATAATTGATAACGCAAAACAACTTTCTGTCTTGTGCTGAGCAGATGGGCAGTGAATCCAATAACTGGTTAATGTGTGAGGTGTAGATACTGTACATACCACTCTGACTTGCTCACACCCCTCTTCAAGGGAAAGATTAGCTGATATTTTGGATTTGTCTTTCAGTGAAAGTGTACCTAAGTGGGTCCATGCTGTCATTCGGCCAGTAGCAAAAGAACTGGAGTCTTTTATCCCTCAACCCTTTGCAGGAGAGATCCTGGGAATGTGCAAGGCACTGGGGATTAGTGTTGGAGATGGAATTCTCGTGAATTTGGCCTATGAATTTTCTGCGTAAGTATCTTACTTATCCTGGGAAATAAATTCAGAATATTCCAATTTTAAGGCAGTGGAGCAGAGTGTCTTAATGCAAAATGGCTATAAAGTATAATTGATTGAAGATGATAAATCTCTGGTCTAATATATGAGATGGAATCAGACTGAATTTTGAGCGTATAAATCAATCAAGCAACATTAATGCTCTAATGGGGGGTGAGATGGTGCAGTGCAGTAATGTATATATTGAAATTAAGGCTGTCAATTAATCGCAGTTAACTCACATGATTAACTCAAAACAATTAATCGTGATGAAAAAAATTAATCGCGATTAATCGCACTGTTAAACAATAGAATACCAACGGAAATTTATTAAATATTTTGGATGTTTTTCTACATTTTCAAATATATCTATTTTGATTACAACACAATATAAAGTGTACAGTGCTCACTTTATATTATTTTTTATTATAAATATTTGCACTGTAAAAATGATAAACAAAAGAAATAGTATTTTTCAATTCACCTTATACAAGTACTGTAGTGCAATCTCTTTATCATGAAAGTGCAACTTCCAAATGTAGGTTTTTTTGTTAACTGAACTCAGAAACAAAACCGTGTAAAACTTTAGAGCCTACAAGTCCATTCAGTCCTACTTCTTGTTCAGCCAATCACTAAGAGAAATAAGTTTGTTTACATTTACGGGAGATAATGCTGGCCACTTCTTCATTACAATGTCACGTGAAAGTGAGAACAGGCATTCACATGACACTGTTGTAGCTGGCATCACAAGATATTTATGTGCCAGATGCGCTAAAGATTCATATGCATCTTCATGCTTCGGCCATCGTTCCAGAGGACATACTTCCATGCTGATGACGCTTGTTAAAAAAAAAATAATTAAATTTGTGACTGAACTCCTTGGGGGAGAATTGTATGCCTCTTGCTCTGTTTTACCCACATTCTGCCAGATATTTCATGTTATAGCTGTCTCGGATGATGACCTAGCACATGTTGTTCATTTTAAGAACACTTTCTCTGCAAATTTGACAAAATGCAAAGAAAATACCAATCTGAAGTTTCTAAAGATAGCTACAGCACTCGAACCGAGATTTAAAAATCTGAAGTGCTTTCCAAAATCTGAGAGTGACGAGGTGTAGAGCATGCTTTCAGAAATCTTAAAAGAGCAACACTCTGATGTGGAAACTACAAAACCCAAACCACCAAAAAAGATGCCACCAGCAGAAGGTTGATTTTCTGACTCATAATGATGAAAATGGACATGCATCGGTCTACACTGCTTTGGATGGTTATCAAGCAGAACCCGTCATCAGCATGAACGCATGTCCCCTGGAAGAGTGGTTGAAGCATGAAGGGATATATGAATCTTTAGTGCATTGTGCATGTAAATATCTTGTGACACTAGCTATAACAGTGCCATGCGAAGGCCAGTTCTCACTTTTCGGTGACATTGTCAACAAGAAGCAGGCAGCATTATCTTCTGCAAATGTAAACAAACTTGTTTGTCTGAGTGATTGGCTGAACAAGAAGTAGGAGTGATTGGACTTGTAGGTTCTACAGTTTTACCTTGTTTTATTTTTGAATGCATGTTTTTTGTACTTAATTCTACATTTGTAAGTTGCACTTTCATGATAAAGAAATTGCACTACAGTACTTGTATGAGGTGAATGGAAAAATACCATTTCTTTTGTTTTTCACAGCACAAATATTTGTAATCAAAAATAAAGTGAACACTGTACGCTTTGTATTCTGTGTTGTAATTGAAATCAATATATTTGAAAATGTAGAAAACGTCCAAAAATATTTAAATAAATGGTATTCTATTATTGTTAACAGCGCGGTTAATTGCAATTAATTTTTTTAATCGCTTGACAGTCCTAATTGAAATGTCAAAGCAAACCGGCAGGGAGCATCCCTTCAAAAGCTCATTAGATCCTTACCAGTTAAAAAGTAAATTAGATTCGTTTAATCATTTAGGCTGTAGGATTTCACTCAAAAAGCAGAAGTAAGGAGGATTTGTCTGCTCTGAGAAAATGAGTTTTGTTTTTTGTTTTGTTTATTTTTGAAAAGTTGTTTGTTAAGTATCACTTAGCTTCCGCTTGGAAACAAGTACATTTGTGTTTAAAACTGTCATGTTAGCTGATTGTGGCTATAGCCGCAAGTTACTTTTTGGGTTTGTCTACAGTGGGAAAATGAGGATAGTTCTCTTTTCTATGAACGAATCATAGAATATCAGGGTTGGATGGGACCTCAGGAGGTCATCTAGTCCAACCCCCTGCTCAAAGCAGGACCAATCCCCAATTTTTGCCCCAGATCCCAAATGACCCTCTCAAGGATTGAACTCACAACCCTGGGTTTAGCAGGCCAGTGCTTAAACCACTGAGCCACCAAGCTTATATGGGGGGAAAAAGTTAACTTTTGTTTATTTTCAGTCAGTCAGTTAGTGCATGAGGACAGAAACAGGTTGTTTGAGTTCACAGCACTGCAGAGAAATGTTTAATTTAAAAAAAAATGACACTCAAATTTTTCATCTGGAAAAATTCGCTCTCCATGTTTGGTTTTGACCCCTTTTCATCACAGTAGCTGAATGTTTGGCTTACTCTAGGTGACACTGTCTCTTTGCAAGCATAACTATCTGATATGTAAAAAGAACAGGAGTACTTGTGGCACCTTAGAGACTAACCAATTTATTTGAGCATAAGCTTTCGTGAGCTACAGCTCACTTCATCGGATGCATAAAGTGGAAAGTACAGTGAGGAGATTGTACTCCTTACTGTACTTTCCAGTCTCCTCGCTGTACTTTCCACTTTATGCATCCAATGAAGTGAGCTGTAGCTCACGAAAGCTTATGCTCAAATAAATTGGTTAGTCTCTAAGGTGCCACAAGTACTCCTTTTCTTTTTGCGAATACAGACTAACACGGCTGCTACTCTGAAACCTATCTGATATGTGCGGGGCCCCTGCTGTGAGGTAGTCAGTGCCCTCTGCTCACAATGAAGCCATTAAGAGTTGAGGATTCTCCGCAGGACACTGGATTGGGTCCTAAAACATATGCGAGGTGGTGATGAAATAGCAACAGAAAGCTAATTTGTTGCTCATCGTTTTTATGATCTAAACATAATATATTTTACATGTAATCCTGTAAAAACAGCCTGGGTGCTGTGTTTGGAATCCTAGATTGCTGCATATTATGAAAGGAGAGTGACATATTTTTTTCTTTATCAGTTTTCTTCCAGGATCCTCAGGCATCTATTCTCTTTTATGGAAACAGTGTGCCACTATTACCATAAGCAGTAGGTTATTACATAGAGGTGTGTGTACCTTATCTAGACAGGGAAAAATATTGCATTAACACATTCCTTCTAGTTCAGGTCAAAGGTATCCTGGGTGTAATTGGGTGCAGTTCCACTGGAGTCCTTGGAGTTGCACCTGTTGAAAAAAGAGCTGAATATGGCTTTTAGAGTTTGGTATATGCTCCTTTGAGTGTGCCGTGATCTACAAGTGATGGTCAAATGTTCAGTAATCATTCAAGTGTTACTGCATGACTCAGATGCCACTCACAATGGATAAAATTCTATATTTTTAACAGGAGATTTTTATTTTGTGATGTGTAAGTTGTTTCTTAATGCTAATAAAGGCCAGATAGCTCTGGTTAATTACTTTCTAGCTGAAGAGTTGTCTATTAAGAGTTAAAGACTGTAAGGTATGGTTTGCTATGAGAGAGCAGTATTAGAGGGAGACCGATTGCTATAATTAGGGTTCTATTAACAATTTGCATTTTAAACTCCTGGTTACTAGTTTAAGTTACTCATAACTTCTCTGAACTCTCACATTTTGGGTTAAAATCTGCCTGAATTGGAATTTATGTTTTGGGAAACTTTGAGCCAAAATTGTTTAGTTTTCAAGTAACGAGAGAGTGGAAAAAATTATGCTTTCATCAGTATAAAAATGTTCTTAGTGGCTTTTTTATTTATTTTTTTTACGTTTAAATGCTGCAACAGCTGGTGTAAGGAAACTGAAGTCGAAATTTGGTGGGGATATCTCTCTCATTGAAGGAAAGTGTCTTAATGTTCTGATGAAAATTTATTTTGATTTTACCAAGTCTGAGCATTTGAAAATCACATTCTAAGTGCAGTGAGATTTTAACTAAGAAGTGCTAAATGTATAACATGCACTGCTAAAGGTTATGTTACAAATGCTTGAGTGGCAAATTTAGCAATCCAGTAACAATGAGCTGTGAATACCTCAATCACTGTTAGAGCTGGTTGTGAAATTTTTGACTCAACTTTTTTGTCAGACAGTGCCAATTCATCAAAACTGAAATTGTTTGCGGGAAAGGGTTGGTTTCGACAGATTTCTTGTCTGTCTCAGTTTTGGGGAAGTTTTGAAATTGTCGAAATGTCCTGTTTTGAAACATTTGAAATGAAGAATTTCCATTTTTCTGTTTAAAATGACTTTTTATTTAGAAATTTAAGTTAACTATAGTTTAAAATATAAAACATTAAAAGGTTGAAATCAAAACAAAGCATTTTGATTGACCTAAACTGATTTATTTATTTATTTATTTATTTTTGGATTGTCAGTTTGCAAAAACTTTTGAGACTTCAACTTTTTGTCCCTATTTGGGATGGGAAAATTTTCCCAAGACAGGAAAAACATTTCCCACTCAGCTCTATTCACTATGTCTTGTAAGACAAAAAACTGCACAACTCCTGGGACTCACTTCCCTGGACCTCATGATGAGTAGGCTAGGGCATTGCAGAGATGTTAAGTTGCACAGTTAAGCACTCAGGTCAGGAGCAGTCAGTGTTAAGAGGCTGCATGTGTAATTTGAACGCCTCTCTTGTGTACATACATCATAATACAGTCTTTCATTACATGATTACATCCTGTTTCTTAAATAATACAAATTTTTTCTACAACCATAAGTACACATAATTTTTTAAATTCTGATATATTTTTATCATTTTCATTGTCAATAATTCAATATCTTTTTTGATTTTTGCCTTTAGAGAGTTGAGAACCAATATATAAAGCATGCATTTTAATATCGGGCCCAATCCTGTTATATTAAGGGTAATTATTGTTTAGTCAAGGGAGAAGAGAGAGACCTAGCTAAGTTAATTCTTTTTAACTTGACCCTGGGCTTGTCAAGGTAAATGTAGATACATCATTTATTTTATGGGCATAATTTTAGATTTTTTATATCCAAAGAAACTGCTGAACTGGTTGATAATTTGCAGCGGGCTGGGGATTGGTACCTTTAAGGTTAGTGAATGAAAGCAGCATGTTACCTGCTTGAAAAGGTATTTTTATGGTTGGAGGAAACTGAGATGCCTACGTACCAAGAGTAGCACCTGACCTTTATAGCTAGGAATTATAGTGCTGGGTTATAATTGTGTTTGTCCTATAAATAACTTTCATGGACTCTTTTCAGAGTAGCAGCTGTGTTAGTCTGTATTCGCAAAAAGAAAAGGAGTACTTGTGGCACCTTAGAGACTAACCAATTTATTTGAGCATAAGCTTTCGTGAGCTGCAGCATCCCATGAGGTGAGCTGTAGCTCACGAAAGCTTATGCTCAAATAAATTGGTTAGTCTCTAAGGTGCCACTAGTCCTCCTTTTCTTTTCATGGACTCTGTTGGTCTGTCAGACAAAGAGTAGCACATAGTACTATAGGATATTATAGATGTGTATCTCAGTCAGTAAAAACAATTGGATGGCAATATGTACAGTATAGAAATGGTATATAATTAAAGATGGCATCGTAATACATATGCTGAAAGGGGCGGAGAGAAGGTTGCAAACGCAACTTTTACTGTCACAGATGAGTGTTTACATTGCTTTGTGGTCTCCACATGTGGTTTTTTAAACTGTAGCTGTTTAACATTTGTATATGCAATGCCATAAGTGCTAATGGCATTTTACAGAGAAAATAAAATAAAGGTTCAGTCACGGCCGTAAGAAATTTCCTGAAAAATTATTCAATATTGAAAAAATCTCTGTGTTTTGGGGTTTTTTAGATAGTTCCCTTCTGCTTTTGTTTTCCAAGGTTCTGTACCAGTATTGTTGCTCAAGATTCCAAGGGAAAGATTTACCATGGTCGGAACATGGACTATGCTTTCGGAGATATTTTACGCAAGATGACAATTGACGTGCAGTTTATGCAAAACGGGCAGGTATGGTCTGTTTTTGGTACGGGTTGATGCTGTTTTCTGAGAATGGCACACAGGTCTGCATATCTTTAAGCAGCTGGACTTAGTGGTTTGAATAACAAATCCACAGAGGAGTGCAAGAAAATGAGTAATAGAATATTTGCTGTTTAGAGTGCTTCGCCATCTGTCCAGGTTTATATAACAGAGCTTTGTTCATCATTGTAGTATCTGAGCACCCCAGCCTCTCTCTCTGGGGCTACGGTGTAACTGCATTTGAGTTATTCATTTTTGGGCACCACAATATCAGAGAGAAATTGAAAAACCGGACAGAATTCATACTAAAACAAAATTGACCTGGGGCCAGGAGAGACCTACTTACAAGGAAATATTGAAAGAGCAAAATATGTATAGGATAGTGAAGGGAGAACACAAGTTTACAAATATTAGAATGGTGAAAACTCCAAGAATGGAGAGGAATTATTTAAGGTGGTACATGGGTGTATAACAAGAGTTTAATGGAAGGAAGTTAAGAAAAGGGGAACTCAGACTGAGTTTGAGAAAAATCTTCTTGATTGTGCGATGTATTTGGCTGGAGAATAGTCTCCCAAGGAGACCAAACGCAGAGCACATTTAAAACATGATCAAAATATTTGAACACATGCAGTAGAGCTCAGTTTTGGTGAGGAGAGGGATTGGAGAGCCTAACAAGTAATTTTCGTCTCTGATTCTTCCCTTTCAACACTATCTTTTCCTTTTTAAGAATCTTATTGCATGGCTGTCAGTCTGACAACTTCCGCAAATATTATATGCGCTGACCAATGTGTGTGTTTTAGTTTTTAATATTTTAAATGATGTATTTGCTGTTGCAGTCTCCTCATATCTGTCTATCTTAGAAATGGAGGATTCTGCCTCACAGTCAGACACTCGCTAACTTGAACAACATTTTAATAGCAGTTGGGTTATCCTTAGCAATGAAATGCAATGGAATTTAATCTTCGCTTTTTTTAATCTCTAGTTTCCTTCTTCAATCATGATGCAGATATTTGAATGTCATAATGTTATTGCGTTAACTTTTTCAAATGACATATGTTGGAATCCAGTTATTTCTTCACTGGAAATCCACAGGTAAAATGTAAGAATCTGTTTTGGACCATTGTATTAAAAACATGTCTGTCCCATAACTGTAGAATGGTGTACATTTTCTGATTTCAGGTAGCGTATAAGGGTACCACATTTATGGGCTATGTCGGCTTATGGACCGGACAGAGTCCACACAAGTTTACAATCTCTGGTGATGAACGAGGTAAGTCAAGCTCACAACCATAGCACTGTCATACCAAAACATTTCAATAGTTTAACTCCTTAGTTGTAAACGATGTAGTTGAACATCGTTCTAAAGCACTTTTGTCTAAGTGAGGTTGGAGCTATCACCTTATGCCTGACAACTCATCTAAGTTAGATGGGACTTACTGCAGTTCAGCTGCTTTTATCCTTGTCCGACTCTTCTGCCGGAGTCTCCCTCAAACATGCTGGCCACTGAAGTGGGGTAGAGCACAACTTTCTGGCCTCCTGCATACATAAGCACCTGTGGCCACCCCGAAGAGGAGAGATGTTTAGATGTCTATATGGCAGCATTTGAACTTCAAACAGCAGAAGCAGGAGATGGGGGAATTCTGGGGAGGCAGCAGGAGGAGAATTTGTGGCCCTTTGAGGAGACGCCACTGAGGAAGGGAGACATGGGGCTGAGAGAAAGAGACCATCTTGTGCAGGGAGTCAAAAGCCTGGATCCCCTGGCCTGTTCTAGTATGGTAGGGCCCATGCATACGGGGGAAAAGAGGAGAAGAGAGGCAGTTGGATCTGCAGCGTGGGAAAAGAAGGGTTGAAGAAGTGGTTGGAGACAGTGGATTAAGGGATGAGGGAAGACTGAGAAGCAGTGCAGACCCACTTGAAGGGTCATTGGAGAGAGAAGGGACAACTGATGACAATGGAAAAGCATTTGAGAGCAATGAAAGCAGAGGTGGCAATGTCCCTTTAAGTTAGAGGCCAGTCTCTTCCCCTTGGGAACCTGAGTTTAGATTGAAAGATGTAGAGGCATGTATAGAACGGTCAGACCTTGGATCCCAGTTTTTGAAGGAAGCAAACCAATGTTTAATGAGGGGGAGGCAAAAGGAGAATTAAGCATTGTAAATATTAGAGATGGGTCTGAGAACCAGAGTTGAGAGGTAGTTCGATGTGGGTCAAGTTAGGGCACCCTTGTCCACCAGGCACTGGACTGAGATGATGATCTTGCTTTATATACTCTTATATGATAAGGATGTATGACCTTGGTCTCTACAAAGAACAATAGCACCAACAGCAGCGTGCGGGGAGCATGTATTGCTGTTGTGCAGAATAACAACTGCCGCTGGCTTGCTTTTTTTACCTACCGCTGAACTATTGAGATAAAATTGAGGGAAGGAGTCATGAGACTAGAGGAGGTGATGGCTCTACATTATCCTAAAAGTTATTTAAGTGACAGGAAGGATTCTTCCTGTGGACTTTCTCATTTGTGTTTCTGGCCCGTGGATAATTTTAACCATGAATGTCAGTTTCTGTTCTGCTTAGTTTTCTTCAGCCAAAGAGTCATCACTGCTTTTTTAGCTGTGCTCCAGATTTCTGTCCAGTACTTTTCATTCTTTGTAGAATTAAAATACAATAAATTATACAGGGAACATAAAAGTAGGAGCGTTTCCCCTAGAAGCTGTTAACAGTTTAGGCGTGGCTGGCTGAATTGTGACCATGTCGTTAATGTGTGTTACAAGACTCTGCCCTCTGTTACACTAACCTCAGCCTTTCTCTTGCCCAGTATTCTGCTATGAAGAAATAATGTTTATAAATGGAAAAGCCAGTGAGTCACCAACTGTAATGGGAAAGGAAGGTGGGGACTTTACGACTGAAATTGTTAGTGTTGGTCTTTCCTGAGAGGTGTTGAGTACTTCTTGTGACAGTGCCCCTTAAAGTCACTTGATATTGAGTCTCCTACAGTGATTTTACTTTTGGGTTTTTGGTGTAGGTAAAGTGAGAAAAGACTAGTTGTCCCAAACTCTGTTGCAGTATTGTTCCCTGACGCAGTGGCTGTCGCATTATAGCTACCTGGTGGGTCATTCTCCACCCAAAAGTTGCTGCAGCTGATGCTGAAGTTGGTAATCAGTGGCTGTCACTTTGATTCCCAATAGCAGCATGGCTAGAGAATTTATTGTACTGTACTTTGTTGGTGAGGGAGAGGATTATAGAGATCGAAAACAGAGCTTGAGAGGAGAAGTGAAGGATGGTAAGATGGGGAGAGATGATGAAGATACACAGTATAGGTATTGGTTGGCAGCAGGAATTGCCTGCGTGTATAATAGCACTTCCCTTTTCTTTTTTCAGATAAGGGAAGATGGTGGGAGAATGCAGTAGCTGCTTTCCTGAGTCGAAACGTCCCAGTCAGCTGGCTTGTCAGGGATGTACGTATGCAAAGTGTTCTATCTTCTTTATCTTAGTCACATACCACTAGCTGTTTGAAGACGCAAAGTATAATAAGAACTTTGTCGTTCCATTTTTCATTTGTGTTGAAAATTACATAGATACCCTGGCAAGTATATGACCTGTATAGGAGCGTATTGTATTGGCTGAGAGTTTTTGAGCTATAAACTGTCCGAAGGCAGGAAATAGAGGCCCTTCCAGTACTGCAGGGGCTTCTTGCCAAGTAGCTTGAATTTATCACTCAGTAACATTTAAGTTTCTGTGAAAAGACGCCCGTCCCACAGAACAGGAAGTATTTTAAGGGACCAGTGGCTACAAAGTAGTGTAAATGCATAATAGCTGCACTGTTAGCTAGACATACAGGTGGGTATGCGATAGGGAAGGTATTTTACCCCACTCTGAACTCTAGGGTACAGATGTGGGGACCTGCATGAAAAAACCCCTAAGCTTATTTTTACCAGCTTAGGTTAAAACTTCCCCAAGATACAAACTATTTTACCTTTCGCCCTTGGACTTTATTGCTGCCACCACCAAGTGTTTAATAAATATATAACAGGGAAAGAGCCCGCTTGGAAACGTCTTTCCCCCCGCCCAAAATCCTCCCAAACCCTACGCCCCCTTTCCTGGGGAAGGCTTGATAAAAATTCTCACCAATTTGCATAGGTGAACACAGACCCAAACCCTTGGATCTTAAGAACAATGAAAAAGCAATCAGGTTCTTAAAAGAAGAATTTTAATTGAAGAAAAAATAAAAGAATCACCTCTGTAAAGTCAGGATGGTAAATACCTTACAGGTAATCAGATTCAAAACATAGAGAATCCCTCTAGGCAAAACTTTAAGTTACAAAAAGACACAAAACCAGGAATATACATTCCCTCCAGCACAACTTATTTTATCAGCCATTTAAACAAAACAGAATCTAACACATATCTAACTAGATTGCTTATTAGCCCTTTACAGGAGTTCTGACCTGCATTCCTGCTCTGGTCCCGGCAAAAACAACACACAGACAAAGAGAACCTTTGTTTCTCCCCCACTCCAACTTGGAAAGTATCTTGTCTCCTCATTGGTCCTTTTGGTCAGGTGCCAGCGAGGTTATCCTAGCTTCTTAACCCTTTACAGGTGAAAGGGTTTTTCCTCTGGCCAGGAGGAATTTTAAAGGTGTTTACCCTTCACTTTATATTTATGACATAGCTGCACTGGTAGCTAGACATACAGGTGGGTATGTGATAGGGAAGGTATTTTACACTATTTGCAAATATAGTTGCATATTTAGGCTATTGCTTCAGCAAGTATTCAGCTTCACAGTGAGAAGTACACAGGCATTTAAACTCTGGCTAAGATTATGGTTTAATGGAATCCCACGTGGTTCATACATATATGCGATGTACTGGGTAGTTGGCGAGATAAAACTGCGCTGCTTCTCAGTGTCATGAATTACAACAAACAAGATGCTTTCATTTCCAAGTAAAATAAACAGTATGTTCCACTGCGGAGCAGGTGTGTGGTGTCTGAAAGCAGCACTGTAGTTGGCAGTTTTGATAAATCTGTCACAAAGGGTCTGTCTATTCTGCAGTCAGAGGTGTGAATACAGCGCATGTAGACACACCTGAGCTGGCTTTGATTTAGGTAGATCAGATAACAAAAGCCGTGAAGCCACGATGGCATAGGCGTACAAGTTCTTTTGGGTCCTTGGGTCTGTACTTCAGCAGGTAGTTTGTGTTGCCATGTCTTCACTGATATTGAGTTAGCTAGATGAGAGCTAGTCTGAATCTTCTTGAGAAGATTCAATTCCCATCTCAAACTCAGAAGAACCTGAATGAACACTTCTGCAGAAGCTAGTTAGTTGTTGCAGGGATTCGATTTAAAATAACCACCTGCTTATCCAATGTTTTGCCTTCAGCAATATGTATGTACTGAAACAATTAGTGTAACAGTTTTTAATTGTAAAGCCAAATGCCTTTTGCCAGAATATCTCAAAACGAAGACATTGAAAAATAATACACACCTGTTGAGGCATCAAAGTGGCATTGTGGGATCTTATATTTGATTCATTTGGTGAAACTCCAAAGGGGAGAGATTAAATTTTCAAGGAGGGAGTCGTTATGTGTAACACTGGGTGTTTGTTGAAAGTTCGTGAGTATACTAGAACAAAGAGGAGTCCTTGTGGCACCTTGGAGACTAACACATTTATTTGGGCATAAGCTTTCGTGGGCTAGAACCCACTTCATCAGATGCATGGAGTGGAAAATACAGGAGCAGGTATAAATACATGAAAAGATGGGAGTTGCCTTACCAAGTGTGAGGTCAGTCTAACGAGACAATTCAATTAACAGTAGGCAACCAAGGAAGGAAAAATAACTTTTGAAGTGGTAATGAGAGTGGCCCATTTCAAACAGTTGACAAGAAGGTATGAGCAACAGTAGGGGGAAATTAGTGTGGGGGTAATTAGGTTTAGGTTTTGTAATGACCCAACCACTCCCAGTCTTTATTCAGGCCTAATGTGATGGTGTCCAATTTGCAAATTAATTCAAGTTCTGCAGTTTCACGTTGCAGTCTGTTTTTGAAGTTTTGTCAACTTTTTGAAATGGACCACTCTCATTACCACTTCAAATGTTATTTTTCCTCCCTTGGTATGCTACTGTTAATTGAATTGTCTCGTTAGACTGACCTCACACTTGGTAAGACAACTCCCATCTTTTCATGTATTTATACCTGCTCCTGTATTTTCCACTCCATGCATCTGATGAAGTGGGTTCTAGCCCACGAAAGCTTATGCCCAAATAAATTTGTTAGTCTCTAAGGTGCCACAAGGACTCCTCGTTCTTTTTGCTGATACAGACTAACACGGCTGCCGCTCTGAAACCTGAGCATACTAGATTTCCTGAATTGCAGAGTTCTCCCTATAGCTGATTACTGAACCCCCAATAGCAATAATTTTTTTGAAATGCCAGGTACATCTTGTCCAAAAGCTAAAGAAAATTAACTGTCTGTAACCAAACTCCATCTTGCCATGATATGTGGAATGAAGATAGAAATGTACAGAGGGCTGCATAGGAAGTATGTGCACGAAGCTCTAAGCAATTATTAGGATTTCAGTGCACAGATCCCAGGCTAAGGGAACCAAACAAGTGACTTTGAACAAGGTGATGAGAGGAGAGCACTTACACATTGTGACACACAAATCCAACCTCCTGCTTCTTTCCTGTTTGGCTCTCATTCACACACCTGATACTAGTTCAGCACATCTGAAATGAATTTGCAGGTGCAGTCTAGACAATGGTAGTGACCTTTGTACCATACGCACCATATGTTTCTTGCATAACTGCAGTGGAATAATGAGCAAACATTGAGACAGCTGTATATGAGGAAAAAAAACCAAACCTTTGGTTACCGAGAGCCTGACATTGCTAAACATTTAATTTCTTCATGTACCTTGTTATACAAGGTGCCTGCTGTCTCATTTGTTTGTTTTTATTTCACAAGCCCTGTTTTCTTTTAATTCTGTACTGTGTTAATTTGTTAGGGTCAGTTTTTAAGGGAGTATTTCCTACAGCTGTAATCTTGCAAACACTTCAGCATGTGCATAGTTTTACACTTATGAGTAACTCCATTGACATCAATGGGACTAGCCGTGTGCATGAAGTTACGTGTATAAGTTTGCAGGAGTAAGGTCTAAATAACTCATTTGCATTTTTATCTCCCCACTGCCACCAGTATTCACATAAACCAAAGTTAAAACCAAGGCCTGGAGAAGCCTTTTTTCTTTCATCCCATAATTTAGGGCTCAGTCCTGCAAAGTGCTTCCGTGGAAATTGACAACATGCTCAGGTCCTTTACTTTTCATCATTGATGCTCTCTGGGTACTTTCTATATTTTACTCAGTTCGGATGGTGAAACCAGAGTACTCAATTCCTAGTCATTGTCCCTTCCTGGTTCTTATGCCGAATGGTGGAAGTCGGGTTGGACAGCTATTTTCATGGAATTTTTAAAAATGTCACTTACTAGCTGTGGGGAAAAATGTGTGTTCACCAAACCTGGACCTACCTGACAATCGTGTGCTTGGGCTGGGATATTCAAAGGAGCCTAAGGGAGTTAACTACCCAAGTCCCATTGAAAGTCAGCTGGGAGCAGGGGCCTAATTTCCTTAGGCTCCTTTAAAAATCCCAGTCTTGGGGTTGTTTTTCTCTTGTTTGGTTTCCTCATTCTTCCTAATGGGCCTGATGAGTTGAAAGGAACGACTCTTAGCATTAACTTCTCACTAGTGGGAGGATGTGGTTTACAATTTGGGTTTATATATGGTTCCAGTTCTGCCAACATTTAGATGCGTGCTTAAGTTCAAGCACATTGCCTAGTCCTCTTGGCTTCAGTGGGCCTGCTTAGAGTGCATACATTGATTGCAAGATCAGGGCCTAAATGAGAAACCATTCCCATACTACACAGATACCCACTCTACTGATCACTAAGCCAAAACTGACCTTTTCCATAAAATGCAGCCTTCACTGGAGCCAAGAGCCCCCCGGCTCTGAGCTGTCTTGATGCAGTGTCTCGGCAGGCTGTGCAGTATTGATTCCCAGTGATTTTGGTTTTGCACTAGACCCTGAGCAAAGCTGCAGACTTTCAAGCTGCCGTTCTCAAACTGGCTGCGACCCCGATCATTGCGGACGTTTACTTCATCGTCGCAGGAACGTCGCCCAAAGAGGGCGTGGTCATCACAAGGAATAGAAGGGGGCCGGCAGACATCTGGCCTCTTGAGCCCACAGCTGGAGCGTAAGTGGCCACAAATGTTGCTTTGTTTCACCTTTGTGAGCTGCTATTGGGAAGAGTGTTCAATAGACCCAAGACACGGTGGGAGGGCAGCATCTTGTGGTCTGCAGTGTCGACTATGGTTGAGCCAGGAGATGCTTTCGCTAATGTCTCTGAATGGAGCTCCATCCAGCCCTCCTCAGCCAGGGAAGCCACTTTCGGACAGGGCAGGGGGCAGTCCTCTGAGAACCGGGGGGAGAAAAGGGACATGTGGATTGTTTTTTTTTTTTACTGAGGACAATACACACAATTGAGATTATATAAGCCTGTGACAAGAAGTACAATTCAGTTACTGGTACAGATATGAATGCTATCCAATTGCTGAGCCGCTTCACTGGCAATAATATGGCAGTCTGCATGTATGTAGGAGATTCAGGGATGTTTCAAATTCATGTGTGTCACTGATGTACAGCTCAATTTACAAGTAACAGGATGTTTTTCTGACTGTTAGCCTTGCACACTCACTTTGGGATCTGAAAGTTATGCTGGATTCTTTCCTCCTTTTGTATCATCGCTGGTAATAAAAGATTTGCATGCTAAACTGGGCTATCTGTGACCTATCTGCAACCCCACTAGGTTCAGATATTACTATTGGGTAAATAATTTGTCGTCGTAACTAGAATTTAGCAGACAATTCAGTTGATGCACAAGATGAATCCAGCTGATTCTCTGTTAGTAATGCTGGCTTTGCAGGGCTAACAGAAGTAAAAAGCATTTTAAAAAACCTTATCTTTTTCACTAAAGTAAAACAAACAAACATGCCAAAAAAACCTCATGTCTGTTTTTATTAGCCACCTGTGCAACTGGGTGAAATTACACTTGCTTTTTTTGGTTTGTTTTGTGGTGTAGGTGGTTCCGTGTGGAAACAAACTATGACCACTGGGTTGCTCCTCCTCCATTTGATAAACGAAGGTGAGTTTGAGTAGGAGTTGTGACCCCGGATGCCGTTTTTGTATTTAAGAGGTGACACAGGCTTCTTGGGTGCTTCCCTAGGCAGCTTCATGTGCTGAGCAGGCAGCCACTTCAGCTCCTGCAGCCTCACTCAGAAGAAACTAGACCAGGTAAGGAGTGATACTGCCTGGTTCCAGTGCTCTTTGGCTGGAAGCACAGTGGTTACAGGGTGACAACTCTCTAACATGAGGCAGAAGAAAATCGTGGGAAGGGAAAGATGCTTGGTGTTGGTGTCCCAGTAGAAGACAGAATTTAACCCTAACCATAGTGTTCAGGCCTCACAATGACAGGCTGTTTGGAGGCATTGTTAAAAGCCTCAGCAACGTTTTTAGTTGATTTGGCTGTTTGATGCAAGGGGGCAAAATGTGTTGGCAGATTGGCTGCAGTTCTGTAGCTGTATCCTCTAATGGTAATGCCTCTCATTTAATTATGGTCGATTGGATTCAGCTCATACCATCTTTTAGTGTAATTAAGCCCCAAGCAGATGTTTTGATGTGGATTGATTTAGTGGCCAACATTTCTCATTCAGGCTGCATAACGTTTTCTATGACCGTTATTTTTGTTGAGTGACGTTGCATCCTTTCCTTGCAGAACTGCAGCCATTAAAGCTCTCAATGCCACTGGATGGGACAATATTAATTTTGAGACCCTCTTTCAGGTATTTCTTTTAAATTTTGCATCATGATGTCTGGATGTTGACTAAAATTCTGCTGTTTGGAGAGAAGGTTAGAACAGCGATTAAGGAATGTGACGGTTTTTAGTGAGGATTTGGAAAATTACACAGGCATTTCATGGCTAAGGATATACAGCAAAGGGCTCATGTTTGCTCATTTGAGTGGCGATTGTCGTCAAGGGTCACTTGAACTGCGCTCTAGTGATGGAGAACTGAGCCAGGCTGTGCTGCTGATTTAGTGTATTACCTTGGGCAAGTCACTTAAGCCCAAATTTTCCAGTGTCTTTGAATTGTGGGTGACTCAGTTTTGGAGCGCCCAAGTTGAGAATCCTGGGGTTTAATTTTCAGCCCCCATTGGCTTCAGCTGACACTGTGGGTGCTCAGCTTCTCTGAAAATTAGGCTACAGTGGTCTCAAACTGAGCATCCAGAATTAATTGGGCAGCCTTGATTCTTGTGTGGGGTTTTTAGGCAGTAATTCAGATATGGTAGACTTTCAGAAGCACATTAGGGAATTAAAAGTACAAGTTCCACTGATTTCTGCCCGTTATATACTATAATTGTAGTGGTTCCTTTTAGGATGCTATGAACTATTACTTTTAAATGAGAAACATGTGTAACATAGCTGTATTCTGACTGCTCAGACAGGAGCATGTGAGGAACGCAGGTTGACTGTATCACCAGCATTATTAGATGATTTCTTTGGTACAAGCACAGGTATAAATACTGCAGACACTTAGAGAGGGGGTAGAAGGTTGATACAAGTTCCTCTTAAATGCAGGAACTTGACAAAACTTTGTGCATTTGCAAAGCTTTTTTGTTTAAAAATGTTCAATAAAGTGCTCTGATTTTTAAAAATGGATAGGGTAACCTTTGATCTTGCGTTATCCATCTTAAATAATTGTATCCGACTGTTTCTAAATAGCCTTAAACATTTCTTTTAATCTGACAAAATGACAGGCTCTTTAATTTTTTTGAATAGGTATTATCAGTGAGGCCGGTCTTAAACAAGTAAGTATCATGTTTAGAAACATAGATCAATGCCCATTGCCACACCAGGGCAGTTTATATTTAATTTCGATTTAGATTATCAGAAGATTTTCCTTTAACTGTGCAAAATATCCCATGATTTTCCCCAGCCATAAACACTGCTCCTGTGCTCAGTGCTTTTCAGTGTCTGCCCTCACTTGGGTTTCTGACTTCTTTGTCGGTCACTCACTGTCCAGTAAAAGAACCATAGTTCATAAGGCTCAGTCCTCCTGTGTGTGGAGTCTACACTTCACAATAATATGCAACAATGAAGTAAATTGATACTCAGAACAGCCAGTCTTCCCCTGAGTGATGCATCTTGCTCCTGATATGTTGAATGTTCATTTTCCACTTAGTTTTTGTTGCAACTCTTGCCTTTGTTAATCAGTGTTAGTAAATTTGCTTTGCTTTGAAGAGGAAAAAATAATACATGCATACCGTAGCTACTGAGTGTAGTTTTACAAGCTACTGCATGCCTAACCAGTGCTGAGTTCTTTCACTTGCTCCATAATGGCTCTGTTTTACAAAAATTTGCATCTCCCCTTCTTCCTGTTGTCCTGTTTTATTTTTAGACGTAGCTCAGTATCTCCACAGCTTCCCTCAATCACGCAAAGAGCTCTGGAATTGGTTCCTCAGGGTCAGCAACAAGGATTTAAGCCCCTATATATTGTGCTTATACTCTTCCTCACAATTTGAATTCTGTCACTGTAACAATTGAGATCAATACTATTAATATTCTAGTAAACTGATCAAATAGATGCAGACTCACAATTTAGGGCATATTTTCTGCTGGGTAAAATTCCCTTGATCTCTATAGAGCTGTGCCATTTTGCACCAGGAGAGAATTTGGCTGTCAGTGTTACCAAACTCTTCCGGATATTTCAACACTCTGTGCCTTTTGATTGTTTTGATTTGGACAAGTAGAATGCTTCTTTCTAGTAAGATTGATTCTATTGCTTTGCTGCTGTTACCCGTATCTTCCTGGATTTGAGATGGTATTTTAAGCACACAGTACATCTTTTTTCCCCCTTTTCCCCCAGTTACACAGTATATACCACGGTAATGAGTGCTGCAGTCCCAGACAAGTACATGACACGGATCAGAACCTGGGAGTGAACATGTGTAAGTAACATATTGGTGCTGATAGTTGTTTTCAATGAATATGAGCTCTCAGTGGTACCTATGGATAGGATTTCCTGTCCTGTTGAGGTGAGGGAACTTAGCACCTGATTCCCTTAGGCTGAGATTTTCATAAGAGCCCAACTCCCATTGAAGTTCAGTGGCCTGCTCTTCCAGTCGTGGGTTGGGCCTAAAAATCACACTTAATTTTATGAAGCTTTTAATGATGCAGTTTAAATGTCCAGCAGGGACTAGAGGTACAGTCCTATAAAACAGTGGTTTTCAAACTTTTTCTGGTGACCCAGTTGAAGAAAGTTGTTGGCGCCCATGACACAATGGAGCTGGGGATGAGAGATTTGGGGTGTGGGAGGGGCTCAGGGCTGGGGCAGAAGGTTGGGGTGAGGGCTGTGGGGTGGGGCCGGGAAAGAGGGAGTTTCAAGGTGTAGGAGGGGCTCTGGGCTGGGGCAGGGGGTTGGGGTGTGGGAGTGGCTCTGGGCTGGGGGTGCAGGCTCTGGGGTAGGGCTGGGGATGAGGGGTTTGGGGTGCAGGAGGGGAATCCGGCTTGGGGGCAGGCTCAGGGCTGCGGCAGGGGGTTGGAGTGCAGGAGGGGGTCTGGGCTGGGGATACAGGCCCTGGGGTGGGGCCGGGGATGAGGGATTTGGGATGCAGGGACGTTTGCTGCTTCCTGCAACTCCCATTGGCCGGGAACGTGAACCGCGACCACTGGGAGCTGCAGGCAGCCATGCAAATGAAAACAAACTGTCTTGTGGCTCGCCCGCGGATTACCCTGACAGGCCACCGGTTGCCCGCCACTGCACTATACGGTAAGTTTTCCTTGAGGGTCCAATTTTGCTGTAATTTGAATGACTTTGGGTGTCTCATATGTCAATTAAACTACAAATCACTTCAGTTGTTCATTTCCCTCCCGCCCCCAAGAAACAGCATGTGCATGTACAGGGGGTGACAATTGCAGTCTAAATTAGATATTTGTACTTTGACCTTCTAAAATTACAAAGCAAAGAAATTTTGTGGCTGCTGCTGCTGCACTCCCATTCCTGGAAGAGAGGAGAATTCCTTCAGGGCCAAATCCTGATGCTGCTGATGTCAGTGGGAGTTTGGCTGTTGACTTTAGTTGGACATGGATTTGACTCGAGGGTTAGCAGTGGTCATGTTGAGCTTTTGAGATAGCAGGGTTTATTTTTTTTCTGTTGGAGAATTTAAAGTGTTTGCTTTATTTCTCTGATCTGTGCGGATCCATGCTCATTTCTTTCTTACTCTCTCTCTCTCTCTTAACAGACAAAAGGGGGAAAAGCTGAAGCTTTCCAAGTCCAGCATTACGTTTAAACTAAATTAATGCATTGTAGTTGTTTTGTTGAAAACAATTCCATGAACATTTCAGGTAAAGCTGACTTGCAAGATTCTGATTTTGTTCATGTTCTGAAATGAAGGTTTTACTAATTACGTTGGCTTTCTAGCAGATTTTTAAAAGAGAGGGAACTGATTTTCACTCATGTTTCTGGAATGCAATGTGCACTTTAAATGAATGTACTGATGAGTTTATTAATAATAAAAAGTCTCTATTTTTGCTTGGCTGGTAAGAAAATACTGAAATAAAAATATTCAGCAGGCCGTCTGGCTTATGTAGGGCTATTTTGTTGTTGTTCTTTCATCTGACATGTTAGGGGCCTGTGATCCACATCCACAGTGGAAGCCCTATAGTCCTCTCTTTAGCACCACCCCTGAGTAAAATGAGCTGAGATCTGGATCAATCCCTAGGCAGGTTGGAATGGGCTGTGGGAAGTCTGCAGGCACTGCTACAGCATCAGGGTTACAGCAGCCCTTCAAATTGGCTGCTCCTCCATGGAACTGTGTTTGGTTAACGGATAGGCCTGTGTTCTTCCCAGCACACAGGGGCCTGGATCCCCAGTGCGGGCTCCCTGCAATACTCCTCCCATGGGACCCTGGAACCAGACTGGTTCTCCTGTGTTCCAGCATTTCCTTGGCCCTTAGTTGGACTGCAGGATGATAGGTGATGGAAGGGTATGTTTTTCCAATGATACCCCAGAGCAATTTAAATTGCATTCCCTTAGCATTGCTGTAGAATGGATGGAAATACACCGTTTGTCTTTGATCTGAATTGCTGGTTTTCCCTGAAGATTACCACTCAATCTGAGAGGTGGTTATTTATGCTAAAGGAATGTGCAGAGCAAGTCTGGACTGTGTGTAACTTACAATTAATGTGCTTTCCTCCAGGATAGAACAGCCAGGCTCAGCTTAGGGGATATAATGGCACTGATTGTTATTTCCCTAACAGATTGGAGGATCCTCAAGTCTAAGGGGAACAGAGACTGAATTTCCTTTGCACAGTTGAAGTTCACATCAGTAGAAATTTTGCAACTATGTTCCCTTTGATCGTGCTGCAATTGTGCACCAGTCACTCATTCAGTTTGTGATACTGTAGCAAAACCACAAGAGTTGGAAGGATTGATTTAGGTAAATACCTACCCTTATAGTTTCAGTGTTTAGGATCTGATTCCTGACAGGGCACAATTTTCATTGATGTCAGTGGGAATTTAGCCTGAGTCAGGACTGTAGGATGGGGTGATAGGTCTTCAAATAAAAAGTTTCCTAGGTAAGAGCTGCAGTAACGCCTCCGATTGCAGTGTAGACCTACCCTCTGCCAGGCTAAACCCCAGGGCCGTGGTGAAGTGGGTCGGACATGGCATTCTGTATTGAATACTGTACCGTAGGTATATGCACAGCATGCTAAGAGGAGAGCTCAACTGAAATGTACTCAAACTGACTGAAGAGGAGACAAATGTATGTTTTTTCGGCCTCCACCTG